ACAAAATCTAAAGCACATGGTGCAAAAGCATTAACCATTTAAACTCTGCTGTTATTTTGGGATTTCCACCAGGATTTTGCCTACCCAAATTCAAAAATTCTTCCCAAATCCACATGCAGAGGTGTAAATGCAAAAATGTGGGTATCATTTTAAAGAAAACCCTTTGAATTTTCATAAAACACTATTGAAAGTTTTTAAAATAACTGTATATGTTGTCTGTGTTATAATAAACATCTAAAAAAAGCATTGTATTTTTTTTTTTTATATAAACTCAAATTTGAAAGTGTTCCTTTTAGGTTCTGTGTGGTCTAGCTTGCTGTAATGAATTGTGGTGGTTCCTGCACATGTCTGTAATCATAGGAAAAAAAGAAAAAAATGTTTCTACCATAATTTATGCAAAAGTTATTGCATTCCAACTGATGAGAGGTGCTATACAAGACACAGGGATTGATCATTGTTTTCATATTTTACTATTCTTTTGTTTGATCAAACATAATTCACTGTGTTTAAACCACATCAGACATATAAATGGATTGCTTATGCACATCACCTCAAAAAGGGAGAATGGCCCTGAAGCGCACAGCATAAGTTAAGAAATGACAGCTGTCTGTGCTATCTGGGGCTGCTTAGTGATCATAAATGTATTGTTTTCACTTCTGCATGGAAACACCGCGATTCAATTGGCAACTGTTTGATATGTGAATATAAGTGAGTAAAAAGAATGCTAGAACCGTATGAGCACCGGCAAGAGCTTTCATTTGAGCTATAACTTGAACATGTGTCATATGAAAAATATGAACCAATGTAAAATACCCAGCTCGGGTATCCAAAATACTGTGTATTTAAGTGTAAATAACATTTGTACAGTAGAATAAAAACCAAAGTGATGCATATGTGCAAAAAATATAGATTCTACATTTTCAAACAAAACCATTTATGGGGGTCTGGTGCAATGCTAGCCCTTTAAATCTTAAAGCGAAAGTCGATGACTGTTTAACTGGTTAAACAACGTGGTGCAAAAAGTGAAGATTAGGGTTGTGCTGTTTTGAAAAGAGCAACAAATTGCGCCATACACATCTTGGGCCTTATTGTGCCAGGTGTATAATAGGACCCAATATGTCAAAATTAAGTATCTTTTTTTTTTTTCGATAAAACAAGCTAAACAATCTGCTAATGGAGTAACCAAAATAATCTTGCTTTTACTTTTAAATAAGATTATTTTGCTTATTGTAAGGAAAAACTCACTTCATTTTGACATATTATTTCTGAAAACAAGACTTGCTCATCTAGAAAATGCTTCTTGATTTAGGAATTTTAAGATATTGAAACTAGAATACATAGAATTATTAGAACTAGAAATAAAAGACATTTTTGCTGAATTTTTTCCCCACCATAATATCTATAAGCATTTCGATAATATCAGAATCTATACTATAACTGTAACAATTGTAAGAATTAGTTTCAGAATTATTTTTGTAATGAACCAAAATACATCAGATTTCAGCTCTTATGTAATATTTAATTGTTTTATATTTTCTATCATAAAAGTTTTCATGTATTCATTCTTTAGCTTCACTCCTACACAAATTTTGGTTGCCTTAAATTTGTAAGTTGAATCAAATTACCATAAGAGTCATTTTAAATTAAATTATTTTTTTGATTTGTTTCACCCTTCCAACACCTTTAACACTGATAATTTTCTACTTTATTTTATTTGATCTGCTTCAGTGATTTACAGCTGTTTCAGAAGCATGCGCTCATTGTGATGTAGTTTCTGCTTTCCACAGACATGACAGTACAAATTAACCCCAGAGCATTCTCCGTCTCCCAGCTTTATACTACCTTTAATGTGTTTAGGAAATTGTAAATGGAGCTAACAGAGCATTACTGATAGACCTGTCCAGAAACGACTGCCACACTGTATGAACCTTGAGGAGAGTGTATTAACACAGTCATAGTTTGTAATTATAGGAGTAGCATTATTGTGTTTGTATTTATGCTTTGTTTATCCAACAAAAGTCCTGTGATTATCCAGCATGTCTGGACAGAAACGGTGAGGGTTGGTGGGGAAAGTGACAACACACACGCATCTTGTACTTTTCTTATGCTGGTAATTGTTCTACATAATTAAAAATGTAACGGACATTGGTGGTCACAAAAGATCCTTAAAACAGCTCTTGAACAAAATGACGGTTTCAATATGGAGTTCTTAATTTATCATCTGGATTGAGCTAACATTTTGTGTCTTTAGGAAGCATTGGTTGAGTCACTGACTGAGAATTATTGGTTTGTCTGTGTGAAATGACCTAAAGAGTGTATTATCCTTTGTGTTTTGGAAATAAAGGGAGCAAACTAGAACTTGCTAGTGTATAATCTAAAAGTCACCCTACCGTTTAAATTTGACATGCACCATCATCATTTCTGTACTATTTGAGTCCAGTATTGCACTTCTTGTTCACTATTTGTTACACTTTTTATTCCAATCTGGTCCGGATAAGTAACTTTGCAACTCCACACCAAGTCTCATTTGAGTTTTAGTTAGGTTTAGTCGAACGAATTGATATGCTGTTGCCAAGTATATGATCACTAGAATGTCTAAGTGAACTGTAACCCATTTAGTTTGATCTGTCAGAGAGACATTTTAGAGATTTGGTGTAAATGGAGGCTAATAATGGTTAAAGCACTGACCCATGTGAGTGAGCTTTTTCAGTTGATTGTTAGATCTGTTATCTTGGAGGGAAGTAAGCCAGAAAAGCACTGACCTGGAAGTGCACATCCTTGACAGTTTAGAGATTAACTAATTAAGTGTTGTCTGTAAAATCTGAATTACATGATCAATTGGTCATTACAACATATGTTTTAGTTCGATGAAACTTATTAAACTGATCATGTAATAACGTAATTGTACAAGTTTTGCAAGCTGTTTTCAGTCAGTTTAACATAATATAAGTTCAATGGACTCTTGAGATTAATTTGATTCAGCTTAAAAATTTAAGGCAAACAGGATTTTTTACAGTGTATTTGTCCAAATAAAACTGCAATATGTCAAATGCTGTCCATTGAACTGGGATTGTGTGTAAAGAACACAGTGCAATATACGAGAGGTTAGTTTTCACACAGCGGTTGTGACAATGTTTAAATGCGAATGTATTTTCTCTTATAGGTGTTTCTTATTGGTTTTAAGCACTTTTTTAAAAATGCAAAACGACCGTAATTACAAACAAACAAAAACGTTGGTACCATTTACGAGGACTCTACATTGGCATAATGTGTTTTGCACAGTATTACATGTCCTTACATTAATTGATAACTTTTAATTATTTCAATTAATGTTTAAATACCATTAGTTAAAAAAAAAACTATATAGTTGAAGTCAGAATTATTAGCCCTCCTTTGAATTGTTTTCTTTTTTAAATATTTGCCAAATGATGTTTAACAGAGCAAGGAAACGTTCACAGTGTGTCTAAAAATATTTTTTCTTCTGTAGAAAGTCTTATTTCGGCTAGAATAAAAGCAGTTAAAAAAACAAACAAATTTAAGGTCAAAATTATTAGCTCCTTTAAGCCATATATATATATATATATATATATATATATATATATATATATATATATATATATATGATAATGATAATGATATGGGGCTAATGATTCAGGGAGGCTAATAATTCTGACTTTAACTGTATATCATCTGGCTCAAATTGGGGATGTCAACAATTTGAATCTGAAAAATTGCTTAGCCATGCCATGCTTTGCAGATACTATCTTGATAAATGAGGGGCAATTACAGTTACCAAGATGTCAGACAATAACTTGTACAGACATGTAATATTGCTAATGATAACACTGACGTGGAGGTCTAAATTACAAAAAGTGAATGAGGAGAGTAGAGGCTGTCTCTGATTACCAAGACCTGAGGAAGGCTACACGTTTATTCATTCATTTAGTTATTTATGTATTTATTTAATTTATATACTTCAATATTGTCAAAAAATAACCGAACAAACAAACAAAATAGAATACAAAAATCTCTAAATTTTCCTCTAAAATTAGCTTTTTTTTTATTAGGCTCCTATGTGTATGTTTGGTAATATCAGTTTTTTATGGCAAAGAATAATGCTTTTCCTGGTCTTTAAAGTGAAATATCTCAACGTAAACAAAGGAGGCTGAGGAAATCTTTCATTTTCGATGGAAATTTCAGATGACACTTTAGAGGTTTTTGCATCCTAACTCTTCAATTATAGGATTATTATTACTATTATTATTATTATTATTATTATTTATTTATTTTTTATTTTTTTTTGTAATGGATTGTTGTCTCAATGTTCTGTTTGACCTTATAAACTTCTTGAGAATCTAGGTGCTCTTTCTTATCACCCAGTGCAGTCTCTCCCCCGTGCGGAGGCGCAACTCTGCGCAGCACAAATAGCGCAATCTAGGATTATATTTCATAATAAGGGAATTGCATATCCATGACTATAAATAAAATGCACTTCCTGTAGATTTTTAAAAAAATTTATTTTATGATTGAGTAATTCTTGATATCCTATTCAGAAAATTTAATTTAAGTTGATAAATCTAACGGGAACTATTTGTTTGTTTATTTATTTATTTATTTATTTATTTATTTATTTGCTTGTTTATTAAGCCTATTAATTTATTAGAAAATGATATAGATATATGGCGCTTATTTAAACAGTCATTTTTTTTTGTCACAACAGTTTAGCCTATGATATACTGTATACCAATCAAGGTAATGTTCACCTAATGTTCTATAGTAGGGCGTAATGAGGGCAAAGTGACGCTCTATTGTTAAATTGTGAATGTTCTATTCTTGCATTTAAAAGTGTTTGTGCAGTCAAGTTGGGTCACCTACGTGTGTCCCAGTCACTTTCCCCGCACCTCCCTTATTTAGGCTGGTGTCTACTCACTTTTCGGGTGGCCACTGAGCCCCTCCTCTAAATCCTTGACGAGGTTATTTAGGGAGGAAAATGGATTTGAATGTAGTGTTAACGTTTTGCATTTACTGTCCGGATCATCACAAGTAACGAAGAAAAGTCTACAAGTGGAGATTTGTCCAAGAAGATTCAACAAGTGAAGGAAAAGCACTTTGTTAACTGATAAAAGGACGCGCATGATGGTTTCATGTGGACTCACTGTGAACTGGGATTAAGGAACGTTTATTTGCGTGTGGAATTATAACTTTCAAAGAAAGGTAAATATTTGCATTTATCTATTTTAATCATGTTCTATATGTAATGGCATGTCGGACTTAAAGTGATTGTGATGAATTACAAAATGTTTGTCGTTTTAAAAAACACATCACGACGTAATATTATTACATTGCAGTAAATCAGAAAAAATAATGTATAGATGTGATTGTTACCAGTACCTTACAACATTCTAATGTCTAAATAATGTTGTTACAAAGTTGCAATTATGAATATTTTATTGCAGTATTTCGACCAAATATCAATAATTTGTTTCTGTAATATTAAAACCTAGACCTATGTCTCATTGAAGTGTACATAAGTATAAAATATAAGTTGTGTCAAAAGACGCTTCTCATCTTTGATGCTGCATGCATACGTCATTGGGCGTGACTAGCCAGATCTCCCAGCGCAGTTTAATACAGAATAGGGCATCACTTCTGAATTTCTATTCATTCACAACTCTAACTGATTATTATCATAACTTTTTGCAACTGGCGAATTAGGCTACTGAATGAAAAGCGCTGCGCCGGCGAATGCGAGAGCGCGTGCACATTTGTAGAGCGCGCGGATGAAAAGTTGAGAGGGTTTCTCAAGACAGGATGCTTATAAGAATTGTACAGAATGAACAATGTGTCAGATTATTTGGAAAATATTACACAGCTAGGTGTATTTCGCTACGCGTTAATTATTTTCTTTTTTATTTAAATAATTGTAATTAATTAATTCGTAGCGGGCACAAGAAGTGTTACTTAATGATTTCATAAATGCAGTTTTATGGAAAACGAAAAAAAAATATTTCAAAGTTAATTTCTACCGGTAAAGATTTATTTTACTGTTATTGTAAGCAGTATAACTAAATGTCTATAGCCTAAGTCATCTATTGACTTTCACAATAAAGGACGTCGCTTTCTCACTCATCTGGTCAGTGGGTAGTCTCGTGAGCCCCGCTTTTGTAGTGGTGCGGTGGCAAAAGTTTGAGTCTCACCCCCCGCAGGGGATTAGAGCAACTGAATACTCATTCGCCAACCACCCTCTGAGAGGAAACACTCTGTATGACCACCACATCGTCTCAGTCAGATGAGTAAAGCCTTTCAGCATACTACTTGAGTGTTAATAGATAGCAAATGTCTCAGTCATTCAGCTCGGTTTTCAGCAGGGGAATTGTCAAATCAATGATTCAGTAATTCTTCTCTTCACCTTGTAGACTGCAAGATGTTGCTAAATATAAAACACATATTGTGGTTGTTCTGCATATACCACTCAACAACTGGACCAGGTAAGCTTTTTACACTTTTTTTTAAACATCTGTATGCGTGTTGCATTTCACTGATTGATACCTTCCTGCATGTTCTGCAATGAGTTTCTGACTGTATTTTGATTAGCATGTTACATAGCTTTAAATGTGTGTCAATGCGTGCTTTTTTGTTTCATAAATCTTTTAATGCATGTCCTGAACGGGTCGAACTTTTCCCACAAACTATTGTCCCCCAGCTGCCTCTAATGGTTTACTTCCAGGCACCTATACCTTTTAATTAGGATCTTCTTGTGGTGCAAACAGATGGCTTGACTTCTTCACTCTTTGGGGCCATGCTCACACATGGTGATGTTACCCTCAGGGGTAATCCCACCTGTCTATTCTAAGCATTTCTCACATTATTGGGTTGACTGTCTGACAGTTATGATTCCTGCATCATCACCATTTCAAGCATCTTACTGAGGGAAAATAGTTTCTGGTATGCTCACCCGTAGGTATCACAGAGGCAGTAAAACAATTCCAAGCTCAATTATCATAAACACAGTGAGGCATGATTTCCTGTGCTTTGCGGTAGATGCAGCTGTGTGTACGTATGTCTCATGCCTTTCATTCTCTCAGTCTCTAGCACATTATTGGAGATGCGTCCTGTCAGTGGCTTGTTGTCTGGGAAAGTGACTCTTCCGTGTTACTTCTCCATCATGCCTACTATTGGACCAAGAAACAAAGACGCGTCAGGATACGATTACCTGCGCATTAAGTGGACCAGAATTGATGGGGGTGTGGAGTCTACTGTTCTTGTCACCCAAAATGGTGTCATTAAGATTGGTTCGGGCTACAGGAGTCGTGTATCTGTGCAGAGTCACCCGGAGGACATTGGTGATGCTTCTCTCACTATGGTGAAACTTCGGGCTAGTGATGCTGGAACATACCGATGTGAAGTGATGTTTGGGATCGAGGACACACAAGACACAGTCAATTTAAATGTTGATGGTAAGAATCTTTGAACACATTTTTATTTCTCTAGTCACAGAGAATCTGGACAATTCTTAATGTTTGATGATGTGTTTGATTATGGTTCTTTTAAACTTCCAGTGATTTTCTGGAATGTGTGCGTGCATACATAAAAATCCCATAAAGACACATGACATCTGGTTTGTAATGGGGTCGTTCAGCAATATGAATATGAACTTAAAACTAGTTTTTGAGCCCTGATAACCAATATATAGGTTTATAAAATCAAAAATTTATATTATTTGGTCACACTGTATTTTGATGGTTCATTTGTTGAATTTAAGTTACATTGTATCTACATGCCAACTAATTCTCATTAGATTATAAGTAGACTGTTAGGTTGGGGTTAGGGTTAGTGTAAGTTAACATGTACTTGCAAAGTTTCTTGTAGTTAGTTAAATGTCTGTTGAAGGAGCAGTATCAGCAGATATCAAGCAGACAGTCTACTAATACTCAAATGGACCATCAAAATAAAGTGTAACCTTTTTTCTGAGCCTTTAAAAAATGCAAACAAATGCAATGGACAACTCATTTTATTGTAGAATATTTACTGCAGAAAAAATGTCAAGGCAACAATCAAACAATTATCGCTAACAGCAGTCATCCGAAAGGCACCAAAAATATTATTTATCTGCCAAAAATGACTTCTAATCTGGCTAATAATGACAATGGCAAAAAAAAAAAAAAAAGAGTCTGAAACTGACATGGGCACCAATATATTGTGCATGATAAATTTTTGTTGTGCATTAATATCAGTGGTGTAAAGCAGGGGTTCCCAAACTTTTCAGCCCGCGAACCCCAAATTAACAATGTCAGTGACTCGCGACCCCCATTTTTCAAAGTGGTTATACTGTAAATATATAAACCTTGTAGACACAACTATAGGCATGTATAAACATAAGCACATTGACAACACATAAATGCAACAGTCTATTTACCATATATATTTTTTATATTCATTTATTAATTTATAATATAAAAAGTAAAGGCTGATGACTGATTTTTATTTGTTTATAATAGATAATATTAATATAAAAATAATAATTTGTTTGGTCCCACTTTATATTAAGTTGCCTTAACTAATATGTACTTACACAGGTATTAATAGTTTGTTAAAATGCACTTATTGTGTAAAAACGTGTATTTACTGTGTACTTATGCTTGATTAAATACATGTATGTAATTACATCTGTAATTAACTTTTGTAATTACATTTGTAAATACACTGTTGACCATCCCTTACTTCTTAACCTACCCTTAAACCTACCCATGCCACCAAACCTGTCCATAACCCAACCTCTTTCCCAACTCAAAAGCGTCACAAGTGTTCTCAAATACATTATAAACACAGTAAGTACAATGTATTTATTTTGTGATGTCAGTACATAGTAGTTAAGGACACCTAATATAAAGTGGGACCTATGGTCATTCAAATAGTTTAATAAAACTTATTTGAGTTTTGGAAATCACCAAGCCACCCCTTGTCATTGTTACGCGACCCCCCAGGGAGTCCCGACCCCCACTTTGAGAACCACTGGTGTAAAGTAACAGATTACAAATTGTCAAACTGTAAAATTTGTTTTTATATATTTTTTTTAAATTACTTAGTTTAAACTTAAGTCAATAGCGCTATTCCGCCTAGCCAGCTTTACTAAGGTGAAGTTGGTTTTATTTTCTCATTGGTTCATTTTTGAACAATGATAACCTGTGATGCGCTTACTATATTGTTTACCATCCTACTTTGAATATTCAGCCTGAAATAGCATGTAAGTTTGACTTCGAAATAAGTTTTATTCCTTCACCCCACCGGCTAAATACTAAGCATACAGTAGCCACTTTAGGACAAAGAGCGTGAGAGAGTGAGACCTGCGATCCTTGCATGCATGAAATATTGCACATTATGACAAGATTTGATTGCTACACAACTAAAAACGTGCTAGATACAATACAGTTTTCAAACTGGTTAATGACATGATCTAGTGGGTTGTCTGCTGTCATCTTTAAGGTCCGCGTTCATGTTCCAGGAGGTGTGGCTTTGGACAGCAGGGAAAGGCCTGTGTTTTATAAGATTTTATGCTAACACTTATCATTTTGGCAGATCACCTACTGCACCTTTAATGTTTTTTTTTTTTAATGAATGATTTTTAAAATGATTTATTTCTATTTTTGTAAGAGCTGTATTTATTCAACTTTGTGCTTGAGACAGTCAAACAGTTGCATAGTTTTAAGAATTGCCACAGCAGTTTTATAACAAGATGTCTAGTATCAGAATCAGAAAGAGCTTTATTGCCAGGTATGTTTGCACATTCGAGGAATTTGTTTTTGTGACAGAGCTTCTACAGTGCAACAGATTTACAGAGACAGGACAATAAACAGATAATAAATATAGAAAAAAACAGTAAGAAGTGAATGCAAAATATACAAATAGACAAGTGTATGTAGAGCTATATTACTATATACAATGTTATATGTGCAGCTGTTATGTGCAAATTGGCATGTAAAGTGTGTTGTTAAATAAGTGTATATGTGTATAAAAGTGTATGGAAAGTAGTGATGTTTGTTCCACAATTATTATTATCAAGTGTTCATGAGATGGATTGCCTGAGGGAAGAAACTGTTCTGGTGCGCAGTGCTCTGTAGCGTTGACCAGAAGGCAACAGTTCAAAGAGGCAGTCTATAGGTCAAATACATGTTTACCTATTTACTGCAATTTAAATGATGACAATACTAATTATATTAGTTTTTGTTGTGCGTGACAGTAAAACTGCAACATTCCGTCAACAAGCTATTTGCATTCTCAGTCCCTCTAGTTTTTGATGCCAATTTCCTGGGACTAGCGTTTTGCGTGACAGGGTTTTTGGGTCTCAGTTGATCTCAAATTTCTTCTGTTTATAGATGTCATTGTTGTATATGCTGCCAATATGGGAAATTCCTTCAAGCGAATTGATCAGTGACAGTTGTAACCAAAGTAAATTACAGATAAATGAAAATTCAGTGTGTTAAGTGGAACTGTTAATGGGAGAAAACCCGCAAGCACAGATTATCTAAATTGTTGAGGGATTTGAAGGTTGTTTTGGACCCTCCCAGATTACAGTTACAGTGTAAAAAGTCAAATGCACTCCAATAAACTTGGCTTATCCTAATGTCTTCCCTCTGCCTGCATACGCTGTGATGCCGGGACACATGTTGTATGGGCTGATTTATGCACAGGCCATGTGAAAGGATGGGATGGGTCAACCCTGAACTGCTTTGGCTCTAGAATCACAGCACCACCCTGCTCTCAGCAGAGATGCACTGCCATTTTAATTAGACCCATTACTCATTTAATTTGAGTACGTTTCAAAGCGACAATTATGGGGGTGGATGGAATGTCCCCTCATTCAAATGAATGTCCCAACACTGCTCATTTTATTAATTTGTTTATAAGCAACTCGCAGACATCTCCGGGACTGAAGCAGATTGTATTAAGTTTCATATTTGTCTCCGACAACAATGACAGTTATGCAGAATGCCCCCATTTTAAACTCTGTTCTCTGTTTGAACACGTTAATTTTTATTTGTTTTTTTTGTGTTTTTTGAACAGGCGTGGTGTTTCACTACAGGTCGAAGGTCAGCAGATATATTCTGAACTATGCACAAGCTGTGCAGGCCTGCAGCGATGTTGGAGCGACCATTGCTACATCAGAACAGCTGAGAGCTGCTTATGAAGATGGATTTGACCAGTGTGATGCTGGCTGGATAGCAGATCAAACAGTGAGGTTAGAGGCTGTACTTCTATATGGTCTTCTGGGAGCAGTCTCATTCATAAATTCAACATCTATACATATTCTTGTATAAAGGCCAGTTTCAAAAGCAAAACACATTATAATGTCACCTTATTTATTAGTGATGAACATTCCTGTTTCTGTCTGTGTGGCTTGTTTCTATCTGCAGATACCCAATCACGAGACCCAGGCCTGGCTGTTTTGGAAACCTGCCTGGAAAACCTGGTGTTAGGTCGTATGGCAAACGGAAACCCACAGAAACTTATGATGTGTTCTGTTATGTGGATAAACTTGAGGGTATTTTTTTTTCTTACCAATCATTTATATGACTATTTTAGATAAACCCCTTGTTGACAAGGCCAACAGTTCTGCGGTAATTCGACAGAGCAGTAGTTTATCTATTATATTTGCTTTATGCTGACATATTTAATGTGGTTTCAAACTGCGGTTATGACCAAAAATGAATATCAACCATTTTGGCGATGCACATCTGTGGTATTACGCGCTGAAGTGGAAGCTTTCAATATTTTTGTTGCCACAGAAAAGGAGTTTAAGCTCTTTTTTAATAGTTTTATTTGAATTCCAAAGTTTAATCTGACCTTTAAAAACTTGTTTTGCTGTGTATCAGTATGTTCATATTTTGTTTTTAATCACATGCATATTTCAAGCTGTTATTGGTTACTAATAATGAAGAAAAATAGGTTGTAGTGATTTTTTTTCAATTTACAAAATGAATAATTTACCTCAAAATATCAAACACTCTTAAAATAAATAAAAAATATATATCATGCTTTGTCAAGAGACTTGATATTCCTTATATGCAGTATGTCCAGCTCAGTGCTCTAACAACAGGATGAAAACCAGTAAATGGATTTGTTAAATGAACACCCTGTTGTATGGTTTAATATGTCTTATTCCCTCATAAGAAATAAGATTTGGGTATGTCTTTACTGTTCTGCTATAAATTACTTAGACGTCATAAAAACCTCAGTACGAGCTTTTGACAGCAACACCCAAAGCTGTGCGAAAACAACTCTCCCTCATTTTTTTATTCGATTCACCACAACATTTGCAAATGGAAAATACATATTTCTTTTTTGAAAGCTGTTTAATGAATTAGCATTTGTCATTAATTGGGCTATTCCCTGATCAGCCTTGATCCAAAATCTGGGTTTTGATTCATTGACTGAGACTTTGAAGCCTACCTTTCAGCAGGATTATTATAACACTGTTAGCAGGTTTGATAACCCAAAATGCAGATAATTTCATGTATAATAAATGTAAATGTTTTTTTGCCTTAGGTAATGTTTTCTTTGCACCCACACTGCAAAAGATGACCTTTGATGAAGCCAAAGCAGTGTGTGAAAGCAATAATGCAGAGCTGGCCTCACCTGGTCAACTTCACGCTGCCTGGAGGCAGGGCCTGGACCGCTGTGATTATGGCTGGCTTTCTGATGGCAGTGCACGCCATCCTGTCTCCGTACCCAGAAGTCAGTGTGGTGGTGGTCTGCTGGGAGTACGGACCATGTACCGCTACCGAAACCAAACAGGCTTCCCAGATCCCAGTATGAGGCTTGGCGCATACTGTTTCCAAGGTAAAAAACTCTTCACTGAGCTTATGAACTGTTTATGATGTAATAAACGAACACCTGAGTGGTTGTGAGACTTTACCAGCTGTTCTGACGTCATTTCTCTTAGCATGCTTATTAAGAAGCCCTCACCCCATTCTATGCGTAAGCATGAGCTCTAAGCTTACTCTGAACGCAGTAAATCAGAGCAAAATATTAATTTGAGTCCGCCACATTTTGTTAATTGAGGTTCTTTTAAGTTGAGACGCCTGGTATGGAAAAGTTTACATGAGAGTTGCTCATTCTCCAGTGATTCACTGACCTAACTCTGCTGCATTCTGGGTTGCCGCCCATTTCTAAGGAAACCAAACTGGGCTAGGTTAACAAGAGGGTTTAAACATTCAGAGGTTCGATGTGCCACTGTAGTGCTTCATGGCTAAAATGGCAAATGCCTGTCAGACTTTGCCTTGTGGTGTTGTACTGTAGGTACTCAGAATTCAGAAAGACTTGATTTTCACATCAGCTTAGATGACCTCATAAAAACAATATTATGCAGCAACGAAGATCTGTCTCAACGGATAAACAGCTTTGAGATATGTCAAAGTCTTTTTATGGCAAGTTAATCTTTGGCCATCTTGGTAAATTCTGTGAACAGTTATTTATGCACTGACAATAAATACATTAGTATAAATTCGCATTGCTTGATATTACAGTTTGTTGTTTACAAACCATGATAATGTGATATATGAATACTTTTTTTGATACTTTCAAGTTAAATTTGTTTTTCAGTTTTTGTTAATATTTAAAAAGGGTTACTTACAACATAGTATAATTCACAGGGAAAAATAAGTGTTAAACATGTCAACGTTTCTCGGAAAACATATTTCTAAAAATGCTGTAGACTTGAAATGAATATATGCCTATAATGTATATGAATATCCCCAATCTGATTGGCTGATAGCTGTGACATCCATCAGTCTGTATTTAAACCACAGTAATTGTAGTGTATTGAGTGTGAAATGGGACTCACTTAAGGAATGTATGTATTTTGTGTTGGCCACTCTTTATATAACCCCAAGGTATATTTCGCTTGGCTATCTGTTTGTTTCTAATGGGTCTCCTGTTTTCATTACTGCAGACTAGTTCAGTAAGCAGCAAGAAAGAAGAAATGCCCGCATGTGTTTAGCATTTTTCCTTATGGCAAACACAACAGTAATCTGGTAGTGAATGCATTGCTTTGGCTTTTTCTGGGTTAATTATTGTGATCTCCTGATTGCAACAGAGAAATACTGGGAAATGTCTCTAGACTGATGTCATTTATGCTTTTTAGTTTTATAATCTTAAAATGTTACAAAATTACCTGTTTTGTCAACACATTAGATATTACGCTAGAGAATCATTCAAATACTAGCTCTTAAGTCACGTTGGTGAAGTAGCAATAATTTCTGCTGTTCTGATGTCAGCTGCAGATGAATGGCAGAAGAAAGTAGTTCCTCATACAAAAGGGTTTTTAGACGTGTTTAATATTCTTTTTGTACTGTATATACACAATTATGCATTCGAACTGTTGTATAAATGCAGTATCAGATGAGTAGCAGTGCGATATGGCTGTATATCGTCACTGGTGGGACACTAAAGGCTGATTTATACTTCATAGTATGCTACGGCGTTGACGCATAGCCCTACGCCGTGGCCGTCGGCGTCGCTGACGTGCACCTCTCAAAAAATGTAACTACACATCGCAACGATGCGTAGCGCAAGCCCTGTGTTTATTCGCTTGGTAGTGCTGACGAGTCTGGGCGGGACCGAGAGCTGCGTGAATGGCGCGGCCCAGACCCACATTGTTTACAAGTGTGGAGTCTAGTAAAGGAGCTCCGGATGGAAATTTTTGTTTTGTGTTTACCTCATAGTTAAAGTTATTCCACGTCCGCCGGTTCCTGCCTCAAAACAACAGAGTTTGAGCCAATTGTACATTCAGGAAGTGTTCAGGAAAACAAAAAAACCAGCGAAGAAACTCGACACAGAGGATTATTTACACCTCACTGCCAACTAGCGTTTCGGAAGTGTTAATGCAGACCAACAGAGACAACGCGCAGAAGTATAAATGCACACAGCTATGCGCGTTGCATGCGCCAGGGATAAGGCACCAGGCATAAGGCACTCAGCCTGCGGCCTCCCACCAAAGCCAATATACAGCTATATCATATTGCTTGTGTGTGTGTGTGTGTGTGTGCGTGTGCGTGTGCGCGCGCGCGTGTGTGCATGTGTGTGTGTGTGTGTGTGTGTGTGTGTGTGTGTGTGTGTGTGTGTGTGTGTGTGTGCATGTGTGGGTTGTGTGTTGACACATCAAATCTCATCAGGCTAAGAATAAAACTTAAAGTGACCAGTTCCCAGTCCATAGTTTTAATCTAGCCTTTTGAATATTTTTGCTGATGAAAGATTTGGTCACTGCAGTGCAGCTTTTACTGGTTTTACTGGCAGTCAAGCAGCTGGAATTGCTCAAGAACTCAGCACTGAACAGGGTCAGGATATGTCTCAGCTTAAAGTCTATCAGAATCCAAGAACAATTTGGGTAAAGGACAGTATTTTAGGAATCACATTTGTAGAATGAGCAACATTTCTTCCTGTATATATTCAGATCCCCTTTTCTAAAGTCAGTGAAATAATATTCTAAATAATATCTTATTATATTATCAACATACAAATACTCCATTAGAGGCATCACAGTGTCAAAGAGGGTAGCACAATTGCCTCACAACAAGAAGGTCACTGGTTCAAGCTTCAGCTGTGTCAGTTGGCATTTCTGTGGGGTGTTTGCATGTTCTCCCTGTGTTCACGTGGGTTTCTTCCGGGGTTTCCCCCACAGTTCAAAAACATGCGGTATAGGTGGATTGGGTGAGCTAAATTATTCATAGTGTATGTGTATGAATGGGTGTGTGGATGTTTCCCAGTGATGAGTTGCAACTGGAATCTTCTATGTGAAACATATACTGGATAATAAAGATTAATAAAGGGACTTAGCCGAAAAGAAAGTGAATGAATGGATGAAATACTCAATTACCCTGTCATCTAGCGCTCACAAACAAAGAATATCTTAATATTATTCATTCATTTTCCTTGTGAGGAGAACATGCAAACTCCTCACAGAAATGCCAACTGACCCAGCTGGGCTCTTGCTCTGAGGTGACAGTGCTTACCACTGAGCCAACGTGCCACAATCATTATATTAACTGATTTAAATAATTATTTATATTAAAGCCCTATTTTCACTTGGTATTGGCATTTGTTCAAATGTGTCTCATGTGACCACTTGTCTTTTTCACTGTCCTCTTGTTTGACCACATTCAATGTCACTTTTCAGGGAGCACTAAGTGCAATAGATTTCCTGTGACTCAGATGCACAGTTCAGGCCCACAGCCATGAACAAGGATGAAAAAGTGCTTAGGTGTTACCTGCTTCTTTTCTTTTTCTGCCTCTTTCCGCTGTCAGACTCTCTGTCTTTCCTGTCATTTGCACCAGTGCTTATCTGAACAGACGTGTGGATAAAGAAGAGCGTTACTACCAGAGCTCTAAAATCAGTGGGTCTCGCTAACCTCTGACCCGGGGGGGTTATCTTTTCAACTGAGGCTAATTTAGACAACCTACCCCCTGCCGGCAGGGCACTCACCCAGAATGACAGCCACTGACTGCTGTGATAAGTAATGGTCCTGGGGTTCACCCAAAATCTCCACACTGTGACCTCTGTGTTTGTTTGGTCTGTTTCAGCTCTGATCCGCATAGCATTGAGTGTGTTCAAGTGTCTTCTTTTACATAGTGGGTTTGGTTCACGAGTCATGAGTCTGTTTGATACAATGACAAATCTGCATAAAATCACATGAGCTAATCGGACTGGATTAGAATGACAAATGTTGTGTTTTTGCCCCTCACCACACCTTGCCACGTTATAACATCCCACAAACCATCAGACAAGGCATCACATTGATGACAGGCATTTTTCTTATGGGAAAAAGTACCTCATTGCTGACATCAGAGTGTGTGGAGAGAGCCCGTAAATAATGGAGAACAGCTGGAGCCTTGGCTGCCGGCCTACATTTGAAGATGGTGCTTTTTTGTTGTACATGGGGTGATTAAAAAGAGCTAAACAGCCATTAAGAGCATGTAAGCTGTTTGTGCGAATCAAATTAAGTTTGCATAATAATTGTTAGGTTGTTGGATCTTCGGACTCTATTCAGAAGTAAAAGAATCCCACTGAATAGTTTAAAGCCACGCTAATCTGTGTTAATCTGATGTGCCATTCACGTCAACCTTTACATATTTAAACGCAAGCACTAATTACAATGAAATTTTCAAAGAGCCATTTGTACCTAGAAAGCTGAGTAAAATGACCAAGCCCTTCTTTTTCTTTTCTTTTTAATTGAGAGGAAGTGAAAATCAGAAGAAAAAAAAATACTTGAAAATATAGGTCTCTCTGGGACTCTTGCATAATCAAATCATTGGCTTCTTCAGCCATGCTGAGATGGTGTTTCACAATAATTTCATTATGATAATCACACAATAAAGCATAATGTCCCAAGAGATGGACTGACATAGTAGAGATTTACAGTGTATAAAGATCTTTTTTGTGTACAGTGACCCCCAAAAAAGTGTTTGTGACCTTTGAGATACTTGTTATGTTATTCACAATGTTAGTGCATGATTTGTTAATCTTACTTAAAAATAAACAATAATGTATTTATATTAACCTTTATTTGTTTATAAAAAAAGCGCATAGAGAGACACTGAAAGCAGCCACATAGAGAGGCACTGCACGCGCTGCTTAAGATTGTAGGTGCTTACAGGGTTTTAAGCTTAACATTTAGTGGTGCCAAACAGCATTTTCTGTTGTTTACATCCTTACTTGCGTCCTCACTACAGCATACCATTAATGCTATAAACCGTGCATATAATAGATCAATTTTAACAAACAAAAATACTAAGAGGTTGTGGCTCACATCCACAGATATGTCAGTTAGAGGAGTTTGTAGCCGAATCCAGCGCTGAACTGGGAGAGATTCTGAAAGCTTTCCATTGTCAAATGATAGCTATATATATATTTTTTCAATTCTCTGGAACATAATTCAAATTAAACTGTTAGCACTTCTCTCTTTGTATTATGTCCTTTGGAAGCCCAAATACAGATACAGAGGAAGCTCAGTAGAAATAGCAGCATTTGGATGGCATTTTAGCTTTCTCTGCTATAACATTACTGTACCTCTGGACATGCCCCATTGCTGCGTAGGTTGTATGCGCATGGTGAATGCTCGTAACCTGAAGCGTTTGTCATCTCACTAGCCTGGATGTATTTTTTGTAGTCCTCAAACTTTGTTCGCTGTAGTCTTTGCTAAGCTAACTCTGCAAAAGCCAATGTCTCCCTTTGCATTGAACTTTGAGCGTGTTACATTTAGAGATTTTGTTTATGTTCTCACAGCTACATTACACATCAACTCAAGTTTAAAATATAATATTGTAGTGGACCACCCCTTTTATTTTCACAAATTTATGATTAAAAACTTTTTTTTTTCTTGTTCAGGCACTAAGATTATATTCAACCAGTCATCTTGGATAGATGTCACAATCAAGAGCAGTACCACAATAAAGCCCACCACCCCATTCTTCTCCACAAAGACCACCACAGGCCAGACTCTCATCCCTGATGCCAGTTCCTCTAATGCTATTACTGAAAACAACCTGTCTCCAACTGATGCCCCTTCAATGTTTTCTACAAGCATGGCGCCACCAAAGACAAGCCGCGTCCCCGACAGACTAGAATCTGTCTACACATCATACTCAGCAGCAGTCAGTGTGAAATCAGAGGAAAGCTTCTCCACAACAAAACTTTCAGATTTTGATATTGAAGATTTTGGCGCTGAGAAGGCTGATGATGATGCAAAAGTGCGTGGAGATGTGGTCCGTGGTGAACTTACTACTGTAGCTCCTAAAGTTACAGAGGAACCGATGGAGGAACCAGAGGACAAGATCATCATTAAAGTGAAAACGGTTCTACCTGATGTTTTACTCTCAGCCCCTCCCAGCACAAAACCGATGTTTGCAATTGGGAGAACAGAGGAATCTATTGTGGTTGGGGTTACAACAGACAGAGATTTGGGGACAGATGCCACTGTGCTAAACACTGAAGAATCTGAACATAAAACTGAATCATCCTCACAGACGGCAAGTGAGAGCAGTTCTGGTAAAGATGAAGATGTATCTCGTGCTTCCACACGGTCAACAGAAGCCACTTTCCTTGAGAGTGCCAATACTGTAATTCCTGAGTATGAAGATGAGACTGCTGATGGTGTTGTTATGGCAGGTCCTCCACCTTTGTCTACACAGAGCTCCACCAGCCCTCATCCCGAATCTTCAGAGAACTCCAGTGGACTTAATATCACAGATTCAGCAGTTACACCAACCGTTTTTATGCAAAGCACAACTCAACGACCAACTATAGAAAGCTCAGTAACCTCACAAAAAGGGTCTCAGACATTCTCCAGCTTTTCAGAAAAAGAAAGTACTGAATTGACTGACCATGTTACAAGGTCAGCAGTTTTGATTACACTTAGTTCAGGCACAGTTGCTGCAGGGGCAGTGATAACAACACCTTCAGTTGCTGACCACGAAACAACACAAGAGGAAACTGCTTCAGGACCTTCAGATGCACCAAAGGAGACACTAACAGAGGCCACACACACCACCGCTGCTTCAGATCACGCCTCAGGTACCATTTCTTTTCTTCTTTGCTGTGGTTTGAAATTAAAAAACACGCAAGAAGTAGATTATGTTCTCATCCTCAGTGCTTTTCTTTCATTATCAGTATTTTGTAACAGATTTTGTATTTCAAAAATATTCGATTTTGTTTTGCATTATTTAAGAATTACATTTAGACAATGGCTGTATCCAAATCACCCCTATACCTTTAAAACAATAGACTACCCAAATATTTGCTCACTGTTTACTCACCCTCGAATTGTTACAAAGCTTTATGAGATTCTTTCTTCTGTTGAACACAAATGCATATATTTTGAAGAAAGCTCGATACTTGTAACCATTGACTTTCACATAAGAACAAAAAATACGGCGGACGTCAATGGTTAAATGTTTCCAGATTTCTTCACAATACCTTCTTTTGTGTTTACAGAAGAAATAAACTCAAACTGATTTGTGACAATTGAAGGGTGAGGAAACAATGACAGTATTTTCATCATTGGGTGAACTACCCCTTTAACGATTGCACAGTTTGAGGGAGTAGCCATTTGTAGTGGTGTCCAAATCTGGAAACATTCTCAAGTGCACTCAATCAGTTCCATAATGCATAGCAATAACTTGTGTACAATCAAATAAATTTCTGCATTTGACCACAAGATGGCATCCACAGCAGAATCAAATCAAGTTTCTGAATAAATTATATACTAAATTATATAAATTGTTATATAATTTTTCCAATCTAGTCACGACAGTTTGCTTTTGTATAATGTTATTATTATTAGCACCATTATTTATTATATGCATGTTTATATTTTTTTTAATAAAGACAAGTTTAGAGTTGTCCACCTGTTGGGTTTTGGACCATATGGGCATAAGAAATGTGTTCGAATATAACTAGTTATAGTTATTATTGTTCATTGATTCATTTGTTGGAAATTAGAACTGAATTTAGAAATAGTTAAGTTTCCCTTGACAAACTAAATTAAATATGTAGACTAATGGATGTCTTCAGCGGAGTGCGTACAACACTGTGTTTTATCCATGAAAGTAAAGGAGTAAAGCAAAGAGTAAAAGTAATGTAAACAGAAAGTAAAGAGGCTGAATGGAGGAGGTTCGATCTTTATCCTTGTGCTGCAGATGGTTGTTATACAGTTTTCTCGCTAGTAATGCGTTCAGTTTTTCCTCTTACAAAGTCTGGCATGTAAATAGCAAATGAGCGATGCAACTGACTCTTAAAGGGAATGGGAGATGAGACTCTGATTGATTTAATGCACGTTATGCTCAAAACACACCCATAACTCATTAAAGGAAGAAGCACAAGCCTGTTAGACCATGCGCCAGGGTGGAGAGCATATTTTTCGGTCCTTAAAATAGCAAAAGTGAAATCGTAGATCGTTAAAATAGAGCCTTTAATCAGGACCATTAAAGGTAAAAGATGATTATAGTTTTTTACACAATAATTACGTTTCAATATCATACTAGTATGCTAAAGGACTCTTCATATTAAGAACAATAATGACAATGACAACCTTTATTTTTTTGGTTCCCTTGAGACATTCTATTGCTAGTATATTTTCAACTATGGCTCAGTTTACACTAATATGTTTTAGTTTTAAATGAATAATACGTTTTGTGTTTTAGAATGAAAACGACCTGCGTCCACTCTGGCGTTTCACCTAGCGTTTTCTGAACAACTCTCCATCCACATTACACCACTGAAAAACGCACATCACGTGACCACACACACACACACTGGCATGCGATGCAGGGATAAGTATTTTCAATGAAAATGAAAGGAGGTAGTTATGTTATAGGATCCGTTTTGTTATAAATGCATACAGTGAAGATAACGGTCACATATGTAGCAACACGATGCCTCAACATTTTTGGTGTCTGTTAAGTTGTTAATATCAAAATGAAAATAGGCAGTTCCTAATATCATGCTTTCATTTTTATGCTAAGAAAAACAATGTAGCCTGGGTGATGTGATGGAGTAAACTGTAAACTGTTCCCTTTGAAGATTTACTCAATGTGTCCTCGGGAGTTTGTTTTCCATATCAAACTTGCGAAGTCTGAACTTAAAAGGGGAGGATGCAAGACTGTACTTTGTGTAATAATATTGAGGAAAAAGCCCAAATTAGATAGGTGAACGTCTGCAGCCCTGCCTCCGTTTTCAGATGTCTTCGTTTTCTCTCATCCACACTAACACGGAGAAGCAGTGCTATAAAATCAAAACGGCCTCTCCTGCGTTTTCAAAAAGCTCCGTTTTCTGCGCTCAAAAACTCTGGCGTAGTATGGACGGATGGTGTAACCGTAGCAAAACTTATGCGTTTTAAAACTAAAACATATTAGTGTAAACGGGCCTATGTCAACTACCAGTCACTTGTATTATTTATAGACTGTCTAATTAATGTCTTCTAAACTCTTTATTTGATGCACTCCCAACAGACATTTTACAACATATAAGTATTGTAACATTGCAACTACGTGTAAACTAGCAGTCATTAGATTAGTAGCAAGTACGTCTTCTTATTCTACCAACTCCACTTTAATCTAACACTATAATCACACTCCATTAACCAAGCTTAAAATATAAGATCCTTATAGCAACCAGTCTGATGTGACAAGCTCATCCATTCAATTATAATTTTCAGTGGTCTACACAAAAGAAGATACTTTGAAGAAACCTGAAAATCTGTAACCCTCAACTTTCATAGTTAGAAAAACAACTTCTATAAAAGACAATAGTTACCATTTTTTTTATCAAAATATCTTGTTTTTTGTTTATAAGAGGAGATAAACTGGGTTTGGAACAAGTGAAGGATAAGTAAAGGATGATATAATTTTCATGTTTGGGTTAACTATCCCTTTGAAAGCTCAGGCTTTATAAAATAGTGTGATTTGCTTGTTTATTTATGTATGCCATATGGAAGTGATTCCACTGTGTCATTATCTTCATACTGTGGTTATGCTCCGGAGTTTCATTTTCACATAGATTTAATGATTTTTGAGCTTTTGCAGATATTTAAAGTTTTTGTTGTTATACTTATCATTCAGGATGTAAACAACACTTAACAGTGCTGTCCAGGGTCCTGAAGAAAAGCTCCATCTATTGAAAATATGTATAGAGAAGTAAATGTGCACCTTGGCACTCAAAAACATGTGCTCTAAATATGTATAATATGTGCTTTTAATTCCTCAAAAATAATACTGTCAAATGAACATGCAGAACTTGGAATGAGACAGGTAGATGTTTTATAAGATTATGGATGGCAGAGATTTAGCCCCGTATTCGTTATATTGCTTTCATGAGTATTTCTCAGTGGTACAATTAGAGATGTAACGATTCACTTGACTCACGATTCAATACGATTCACGTGATTTAGTCTCTTTTTTACAAAATTATTACAAACAATTTTATGGTGAAGAGCCTTTTAATTTTTTTCTTACATGCTGTAAAATAACATATTTTATGCCATAACTAAATTGCTATTAAAAATAATAATAATAATAATAATAATAATAATAATAATAATAATAATAATAATAATAATAATAATAATAAATAATAATACAAACTAAAGAAGACCCATTATTATAAACAAACCAAAACTGTGACTGTGCTGGGATTTGACATGTTTAAAATAAATATCAGCATATCTATGTTTTCTGGCATAAGCTGAGGTCTTTGCACATTTACAATGTCCCATGGAGACTGAGATGGATGGTGTGGAGAGGAAAGCCTTTCCTAAACCAGAGAATAGTGTGCACACGGTAGGTCAATAGACCCTCTGATCCAGAGGACTGGCCACTGGCATAAAAATCTGATTAGTAAATGACTAATTATTTAGTAGGATAGAGGCACAGGATGGACATGATTATGATGGTGAATAATTAATATTACATGTATAATTAATTAGTATAAGTATCAGTGATACACTTAAGAAGAGATGATCTTGTACAATTTTAAATATTCAACAATAATAAGCAAATTATTAAAATATGCATAAACTAATTTGAAAAGGAGAGGGTAAAAATGGTTTAATACCCGGTTCTGTGCCAGAAAAACTTTATCTTTCAGTCTGAAAAACATCACATGCTTTGAAAACACTGCTGCACCATGTAATCTCTGTAGCACTTATCGGAGGAGTAAGCAGAGCTGCAAACCATTCGGTCCGCATGGTTTGGCTTATTAATTTTTATATATTTTTTTTGTGTAAAGACATCTATGACAGTAGTTTTTCACTGTGCTGACAGTTTATGTGCATCATATTAAAAGTTCTTATTTGCAATCTGAATGATTTTGAAATATTGAGCTTTAAAGTTTTTGCATTCCATATAGATAACTGTATGTGTGTAACATTTGTTTTTAAAGTCTTAAGTTGTAAACAACTTAATAAAAAAATCCCATCATGTAAATAAGTTGTCATTTAATAAGAATGTGTCAATAACTCAACTTTGAAAAAAATGTCAGATAGAACCTTATAATTCTAAGGTGATGATTTGTTGTTCTGTTAGTGTAAGTAAACGTCTTTTTGTAGTATTTGCACACAGTGTGTTTTGTCTGGGGCACTTCACCTCTGTCATTTTACTCTACCGCCCCACCTCTTGCTCACCGTTAATGTGCAGGTAAAGCAAGTTTGCACCTGTAAACACAGCGTCCCCTCTGTTCAAAAACATCTATTGTGATTCATTTAACATTTCTACCAATTTGAATCGTCACATATTTGAATCGATTTTCAACCGGCTCACAGTGAATCGTTACATCCCTAGTGACTGAAGTGGTTTCTTGACACTGTGAAAATCATAGATTCTAATTGGTCCACATTGTGTTCAATAAGACTTAACGCACGCATACACACAGATACACTACACCACAGGTGCAGCATTAGCTGGCACTGGTAGGTCTGGTCTGTTAATAAGAGGCTGTTTGCCTCCATCTGGCAGAGAAGGTTGCAGTACAGATGATGTGGATCCATTTGGTGTAGAGAGCTGTTTATTAGGGAATGCCCTAACAAATCTGTTCTCCCAGTTATTTCTGTTAGTGACTGCAGGCTTGGCAGAGCAAGTCTTTGGACTATTACCAGCGTAAATATAGAGGTCTGTTAGTGCACTGATGTCTGGACGCTACAACATGGTTGATGTCATCTCTGCAGTCTCCTCTGTATAGAGACGGCTGAGAAAACTGGTAGTGAAGGGAATGTAAGCTTCGCATTCTTCTATTGGCCTATTTGTTTGGTTCTAAGAGTAAGACCAAAGGAAAGCAAGGATGTAATAATGAATTATTACATATTTTATGTCAAAATATTATGACACAAAGATTAAACTAATGAGTTCAGGACATTACCCAGAATGCTTAGGCCATTGAGGTAATGATTTAGGGACAAAAGAGCATTTGTGACTGCCTTTAGCCCTGTGCACTGGTTTTTAAGCATGTTCCAGCTTGTTTTTAACAGATGCATGAAACGAAGCTGGGAACTTTGGGTTTGGTCATTTCCCTATGTCTGAATGTTGAGCTGTCGGGAAACACATGAGAAGAACAGTTTTCTTTCTTTGTTCCTTCTCCTCTTGGCCTAACCAGGTGTTTGCAGATGTTAACCTCTATTCCTGCAGGTGTTGCCAACATCAGCTACTAGTCTGGACAACTTCATCTTGTGGGAAATATTGTTTGTTTCGCGACCTTGAGTTGTGTGGGTTGTTTAACTAATATGACCAGTGTTGCTGTAAGATGAGATGATAAGCCTGGTAGATATTTACAACTTTATTTTCTGGAAGCTGATCAAGTTTACTGAGTCAAGAAGGAACCGGATATCTGTCTTTGCTCTTGACTCTGATGAAACAGTCCTAACAAAGATATTTTGTGTACAAGACCTGTTGTGAGGTCTGTGTAGTGTGTATGCAACAAAAGACAAGTTTTTGATTGGTTGAAAAGTACTTCTAAAGGTAGTTTATTTAACATCTGCTAATGTAATTTTTGTTGACTTTATGCATGGTAAAAAATATATGTTAAATTGGTGTTAAATTGGAACCTTGTACTGTATGTATGAAAAATGGTTAAGTCTAAATATATGGAACACCATGATCGAACTTCTATCTGGTCACTGTGAGGTGTTAATACCAAAATTCATGGTTGTGTAGGCATGGGCCGGTATAAGATTCTGACGGTATGATAACCTTGGACAAAAGTATCATGGTTTCATGGTTTTGCGATATTGTGAATACTGATCTTAAACATATTCTATGAAAAATACTGAAACCAAAAAAGTTGTAATAATTCTTTATAATTTTATTACATACATTAAATGCAATTTTCTCATATCTGCTCATATCTTCTCAGGCACTCTGATTTTCCATAATATAATTATTATTTGAAAAAAAAAAAAAAAAAAAAAAAAATATATATATATATATATATATATATATATATATATATATATATATATGGCGATGCAGTGGCACAGTAGGTAGTGCTGTCGCCTCACAGCAACAGGGTAGCTGAGTCGCTGGTTCGAACCTCGGCTGAGTTGGCGTTTCTGTGTGGAGTTTGCATGTTCTCCCTGCATTTGCATGGGTTTCCTCCAGGTGCTCCTGTTTCCCCCACAGTCCAAAGACAAGGGGTACAGGTGAATTGCCAGTAGTGTGTGTGTGTGTGTGTGTGTGTGTGTGTGTGTGTGTGTGTGTGTGTGTGTGTGTGTGTGTATGTCTATGTCTGTGTGTGTGTGTGTATGTTTCCCAGAGATGGGTTGCGGCTGGAAGGGCATCCGCTGCGTAAAAACATGCTGGATAAGTTTGCAGTTCATTCTGCTGTGGCGACCCCGGATTAATGATAATGGGACTTGCCCTCCTTTGATTTTTTTTTTTTCTTTTTATTTCTGAAATGATGTTTAACACAGCAAGGTAATTTTTACATTATGTCTGATAATTTTTTTTTCTCCTGGGGAAAATCTTTTTTTGTTTTATTTCAGCTAGAATACAAGCAGTTTTAATTTTTTTTAAAAAACCATTTAAAGGGACAATATAATTAGCCCCTTTAAGCTAACTTTTTTTCCGACTGTCTACAAAACAAATCACTGTTATACAATAACTTGCCTAATTACCCTAACCTGCCTAGTTAATCTAATTATCCTTGTTAAGTCGTTAAATGTCACTTTAAGCTGTATAGAAGTGTCTTGAAAAATATCTAGTCTAATATTATTTACTGTCATCATGGCAAAGATAAAATAAATCAATTATTAGAAATGATTTATTAAAACTTTTAAAATTTGTTGAAAAAAAATCTTCTTTCCGTTAAACAGAATTTGGGGAAAAATTAAATAGGGGGTCTATTAATTCAGGGAGGGCTAATAATTCTGACCTCAACTTTACAGTAAACAAAAATATACTTTTCTGTGTGTTTATTTAAATACAGAATTATTTTTAAAAAAATAATTAAAATAAACAATTGTTTCCCCCAAGCTACAACAACACTTGCAAAATATAAGTTTTTACTAACTTTTTTGATTCTAATTGTATAGATTTAAATTAAAGATTGTATATGCTTATGAAATATTTTATAATGATTTTTGTACTTTTATTTCAAAGATACTTATTTTCTGATATTATAATCTTGTTCTACTAAAGTACGCTCTGCTTGGCTACACTGAGTGAAACAATAAAAAATCTGTTTTCAGATCATATTTTCAGCCAGTGATGTCTTTAATCTCAAAACTGAAAATGTAATTTCCTTTCATACATTTTGGCGGCCAATATTTTTTTGCAGTCTTGTTTCTTAGTTCTGAATTTTGCACAACTTTGCTTCAAATGTATCTGGACAGAAAATACCCTGTTATCCAATGATTTTTTGTTCTTTTATTTACAGTTAATGAACGTCTGATGCCCTTTGAAGAACCACATTCTCACATTGCCCAGATGGTAGTCATTCCTGAGTTACCTGATGATGTTCTTACTAGTGATGGGGTGACTGTAATGGAAAGTGTTGATTTCTTGTCCTCTGCAACTGTAACCCCAACAGACAGTTACATAAATGGCAATCTTGAGGTAACACTTCAGCCTAAAGTTGTGACAAAAGAACCTAGAGGAGATACATTTGGAAGTGATTCTCTTGGAGTAACTGACAAAATTGAAACTTTTGAACTAGATAGTTCATTAGTGGAACCTGGCAGAACAGCACATGAATCATTGGTATCAGGCTCCACAATAGTGTCCCCTTTATTTTCCACAACCCTTGATCCCAATATTGAATTTGGCCAAATAAATTTAGTAGTAGAATCCACTCTTCCATCAGCTTCTATAGAAATTACTAAAGAGGAGATGCTCATATCTGAAGGAACAAACATTCCAACCTCTGCTAATGAAAAACAATCTTCTGCGAAGCCTGTACATGCAGCAACTCCTTTGGATCATGATGACACTACCGAGTCACACATTTCCCCTCAAGTGCATAGTGTTAGCTCAATAACAGGGGACAAAGCCAAAGATACAGCTGCTACGACAAAGGTCATTGCAAAGACAGCACAGAAAGATGAATTTACTACAACCTCACCACCCACAGAGATTACTTCAGCATCTTTGGACCATTTGGATACAGATAAAGTGAGCTTAGGGGTTCATACACCTGAAGTTTTCACTTTGATTCCACCAATTCAAGTACATACAACAAGTGAACTCGATACAACAAATACACAAAGAGAGTCATTGATTGAGACTGCTGAAATGCATACAGAAAAACCTTCAGAATCCATTATGGACAGTACAAAGAAAGCAGATATGACAACAGCAAAGGTTGAGCTTTCAACATTACATTTTTCTTCAGTTGCACCACATTCAATGGCTGAAGCTTCAGGAGTTGAGACGTCTGATATGCTTAGAAGCACAACATTAAGTAATGCATTGTACACCACAACCAAATCAGATCATAAATCCATGGAAACCACCGAAAAAATTCCACTGTCCAGTTCAACAAAAGATGAACTCTCAAATGTTGAGACAACCGAGGGACATATTACGGAATCAGTTTCTTCTCTCGACTTTACTGAAATATTCATATCAAGCACTGTGAAACCGACAGAACAAACAATTATAGGTCAAGTCAGTACATCACAATCAGCAACAATCTCAGCTACTGTGATAGAGGATGATCTGTCATCAAAACCACCTGAATCCACAATTACCGATGTTTTAGAAACATTATCCAATGAAGCATTATCTAAAATTTCTCTCACAAACACAATGACCTCAGAGAAGACAACAGCCAAAGATGTGCCATCACCGTCAAGTTTGTTTTCTAGGTTGCCATCAACAGAATCTGAAAGTTCAGAAAGTGGATTCCCTAGCAAACAGTTCACATCAACTGGTTTTTCATTAATCTCAACAACTCATTCAGACCAAGTATTTATCAAAACTTCATCTGAAAGAGAAAAATCAACACCAGTTTCAGGCTCAACACATGCTAAAGCTACAAGTGATCAAACAAGTGAAGCACATAGTAGAGAACCTGTTTCTTTATATGGCACAGTACACACATTTGCATCGAGTACTTGGGGCTCAACTGGACAAACAGTCAAAAGTCAAGACATTACATCATATGCAGCAACATCTCCAGTGACTGTGACGGAGGACAGATTCCTGTCTGCAAAACCATCTGAATCAACCAAAACTGATCTACCAGAGTCTCTATTCTCTACTCCTTGGACTGATAATTTAGACAAAACTTTATCTAAAATCACTGTCACTATGACCTCAGAGAACATAGTTGGCCAAGATACCGTGTCAGCCAGTTTTTCTTCAAGCTTTCCATCAACAGAGTCAGCAAGTTCAAAACATGGGACCTCTGACATGTATAGCAAAGAGTTTAAAACAACTAGTTCTTCATTGTTCTCCACAATCAAATCAGATAAAGAACCTATCAAAACAACATCTGAGAGAGAGGAAACCGACCAAACACATGCTGAAGCTACAAGAGGTCAAACAAGTGAACCACAAAGCAGAGAACCTGTATCTACTCTTGATTCTACTTTATCCAATACAGTTCATACATTTACATTTAGTACTGAGAGCTCAACAGGACAATCAGTCCCAAGTCAATATATGACATCAAATACACCAACAACCACAATGACTGTGATGGACAGATATCTGTCAACAAAACCATCTGAATCTACTGTAACTTATGTATCAGAGACACTGTCCTCCTCTGCTCAGACAAGATATTTAGACAAGCCATTATCTGAAAGCACTGACACAGAAACCTCAGAAAAGACAACCTCTACGGATGTGCTTTCACCATCAAGTTTGCCATCAACAGGGTCTGAAGCACTCTCAATATCTAGCTCAACTGAGACCAAAAGAGATCAGAGAACTGAGACATACAGCACTGAACCTATTTCCTCTGTTGACTTGACTGAATCTAACACAGGGTATGCATTAACATCACTGAAAACTGGGGACTCAACAGGACAAACAGTCACAAGTGAAGATATTACATCACATACAGCAACACCCACAGCAACTGTGATGGAGGATAAAGAGCTGTCAGCACACACATCACATTCCGCAATCATTGATGACTCGGGCACTTGGTTTTCTTCAACAAAAGCAGGAGATTTAGATGAAACAACACATGGAAGCACATTAACATTAAAGCCAACTGCCAGAGATATTCTTACACAGTCAAGTTTTCCATCAACAGTGTCCAAGGTTTCTGGAGATGAAACCTCTGAGATATTTAGCAAAGATTATACAAGTTACACACTTCAAACAGCAACCATATTAGATCAGGAACGCAGCAAACCACAGTCTAACACAACAGAAACCACCGAACTTTCAAGCTTAACACATGCTGAAGATGATCAGGCAACTGAGACACAAAGTAAAGATACTGCTTATACGCTTGACTCTGCAACTAGTACAGTTCATACATTTAGATCATCAGGCACCGAGTACTCAACAGGACAAGCAGTAACAAGGCAAAGTATTACATCACATGCAGCTACAACTACAGAAACTGTGATAGAGGACAAAGAGCTGTCTGTAAAACCATCTGAAACAACTGTTGTTGATGTTTCAGGAACTCTTTTCTCTTCTCAGACTGATCATTTAGACAAAACATCTGAAAGCCCTGTTACGATACAGTTAGAGAGTACAACTGCAAAAGATATACTTTCACCATCAAGTTTTCTTTCAAGCTTGCCATCAACACAGACTGAACACTCAGTAGATGAGACCTCTGATGTGTTCATGACAACAACAATCTCAATGTCTAGCTCATCTGATATCACAAAAGATCAGACAACATATAGTACAGAACCTGCCTTTTCTCTTCTGAATTTATCTACCGAATTTAGCGAAGTGTATACATTAACACCATTGAATACTGGGTACTCAACAGACAAAAGTGAAGATGTTACATCACACATAGCAAGTAACACAGCGACAGTGATGGAGGACAAACACCTGTCAGCTATATCATCTGAGCCCACAGTCTTTGATGAAACTTTCTTATCTTCTGCACAGACTGGACATATAGATAATAAATCTGATGCTGTTTCATCAACCAGTTTGTCTTCAATACTGCCATCAAAAGAGATCGAAACCTCAGGGGATCTGACATCTGAAATGTTTAGCAAAGTGTTCACAACAAGTTCTTCTCTACATACGACTGCTGCATCTGTAATGGATGATCAGACCACTGAGATACACAGTAGAGAACCTGCTTTCACTCCTGACTCCACTTCATTCAGTACAATGCTTATATTTACACCATCAAACACGGAGTACTCAACAGGACGAACAGTCACAAGTCAGTATATTACATCACTTACAGAAACTGCAATTAAGGATACAAGTCTGTCATCAAAACCATCAGATTCTCAAGGTTTACATACATTATCTCCATTGGGAACTTCAGAATTCACAGGCAGCATAGTCACACTTGAAGATAATACTTCGGACACAGAAAAAGGCACAAATGTGATAGAGCAAAGAGGGACATTTGGAATGCCGACTGTGTCAACTATCATTGATATGTCAGAGAGTTTGTCTTCGTCAGCAAATACTGAATATTTATTTGAAAAGTCATCTGAAGGCACAATATCTTCACACGACACAACCTCTAAAGATATTGGTTTATTGTCAAGATTGCCATCAATAGATTCTGAAGGTTCAGGAGAGCAGATATCTGAAACACCAACAACCACAGGGAGTTTATTGCAAGAAAAAGGGCTGTCAACAAAATCATCTGAATCCACAGTTACTGATTTTTCAGAGAAAATTTTCTCCTCTGCTCAAACTGGACATTTAGATAAGATATTATCTGAAAGCACTGTCACTACCACAATGACGCTAAAAAAGACAACTGCACAAAATGAGCCTTCACCATCAAGTTTTTTTTCAACAATTCGAGTAGATCAAGAACATACAAAAACCTCATCGGACATGGGAGAAACACAAGATAAGACAACAAGATATCAGACAACTTGGACACACGGTAGAGAACCTGTTTCCACTGCTGAAACTAGTACAGAGCATGCAATTACAGCATCAATAACTGAGTACACAACAGGACACACAGTCCCAAAGCAAGGAATTACATCATATACAGCAACCACAGCGGCAACTGGGATAGAGGACAAAGAGCTTTCAGCTCATTCATCTAAATCAACCATTAGTGAAGCTTCAGAGACTTTCTTCTCCTCAGCTCAGACAGACCATTTAGAACAAACATCTAAAAGCACTGTCACAATTGCTTCAGAAAACACAACTGCTAAAGATGTAATATCACTAATCTTATCACAGACAGTTAAAAGTCAGGATACTGCATCAACAGTCATAATTCAAGGTAGTACACCTTTCACAGCAACAACCGCAGCAACTGTTATGAAGTATGAAGAAGTGTCAACAAAACCTTCTGAATCCACAATCATTGATGTTTCAGAGACTCAGTTCTCGTCTGCTCAAACTGGGCATTTAGATGAAATTTCATCTGAAAGCACTGTCACAAGCAAAATGACCTCAGACAAGACAACTCCCAAAGATGTTCTTTCATCAAGTCTTTCTTCAAGCTTTCCATCAACTGAGTCTAAAGCATCAGGAGATGGGACCTCTGAAATGTTTATCAAACAGTTCACAACAAGTTCTCCACTTCATACTACAACTATATCAGATCGAGAACTTACAAAAACACCAACTGACAGAGAAGAAACTATTTCTGTTTCAATCTCAACACATGCTGAAACTGTGAGAGATCAGACAATTGTGGCACAGAGTAGACAACCTGATCCTATGCTTGATTCTACTGAAACAAGTACTTTGCATACATTTACATTATCAACCACTGAAAATTCAACAGAACACTCAACTACAAGTCAAGATATACCATCAGCAAAGCCATCTGTATTAACCAGTACTGATGTTTCAGAGACTTCCTTCTCTTCTTTTCAGACCGATCATTTAGACAAAACATCTGAAATCAATGTTACAGTGACCTCTGACAAGACAATTGCCAAAGATTTTGTGTCACCAACCTCCTTACTGCACACCGCAAGCAGATCAGATGAAGATCATACCAAACCTACAGAAACAATAACAGTATCCAGCTCAACAGATGCTGCTGTCACAAGCACAAAATCATCAGAGAAGACAACAGCCAGGGATTTGTTTTCAACTTCAAGACTAGCATTAATTTTGTCATCTTCAGAGTCTGAGAGTTCAGGAGATGGAACAGTAGATGTCACAAGCTCAGAGTTCACAACTAGCAGGTCTTCACTGTACACTACTCCAAAGCCATACACAGACCTTAGAAAAACAACATTTCATACAACAGAAGCAGTATCAGTGTCCAGCTCAACACATGTTGAAGATCAGAAAACTGAGACAGACAGCACTGGACCTGCTTTATCTTTTATGTCTACTGCATCTATTACAAAACATTCATTTACATCATTGAGCACTGGGGAATCAACAGGACAGACCATTACAAGCCAAGATACTGCATTAACAGAAAGAACAGTCACAAATCAAAGTAGTACACCTTTCACAGGAACAACTGCAGCAACTGTTATGAAGGATGAAGAAGTGTCAACAAAACCTTCTGAATCCACAATCATTGATGACTTAGAGACGCAGTTCTCCTCTACTCAAACTGGAGATTTAGATAATATTTCATCTGAAAGCACTGTTACAAGCAAAATGACCCCAGACAAGACAACTCCCAAAGATGGTCTTTCATGTAGTCTTTCTTCAAGCTTTCCATCAACTGTGTCTGAAGATTCAGTAGATGAGACCTCAGAGAAGACAATTGCCAAAGATTTATTGTCGCCAATCTCTTTACTGCACACCACAAGCAGATCAGACAAAGATCTTACCACACCTACAGAAACAATCTCAGTGTCCAGCTCAACAGATGCTGCTGTCACAAGCACAAAATCATCAGAGAAGACAACAGCCAGAGATTTTTTTGCAACTTCAACAATAGCATCAATTTTGTCATCTTCAGAGTCTGAGAGTTCAGGAGATGGAACAGTGGATGTCACAAGCTCAGAGTTCACAACTAGCAGGTCTTCACTATACACTACTCCAAAACCAGACAAAGATCTCAGCAAAACAACATTTCTTACAACAGAAGCAGTATCAGTGTCCAGCTCAACACATGTTAAAGATCAGAAAACTGAGACAGAAAGCACTGGACCTGCTTCATCTCTTTTATCTACTGCATCTATGACAAAACATACATTTACATCATTGAGCACTGGGGAATCAACAGGACAGACCGTTGCAAGCCAAGATACTGCATCAACAGTAAGAACAGTCACAATTCAAAGTAATACACCTGTCACAGCAACAAGTGTGATGCAGGATACAAAAGTGAAAACAAAACCTTCTGAATCTACAATCATTGATGTTTCAGAAATGGAGTTCTCCACTGCTCAAACTAAAAATTTAGATGAAATTTCATCTGACATCACCGTCACAAGCACAATGACTTCAGACAAGACAACCCCAAAAGATGTTCTTACATCGAGTCTTTCTTCAAGCTTTCTATCAACTAAGTCTGAAGCTTCAGGAGATGACACCACTGAAAAGTTTATCAAAGAGTTCACAACAAGTTCTCCACATTTTACTACAACTTTATCAGATCAAGAACTTACAAGAACACCATCTGACACAGAAACAACGATTCTAGTTTCAAGCTCAGCACATACTGAAACTGTAAGCAATCAGACAATTGAGGCACAGAGTAGAGAACCTGTTTCTATGCTTGATTCTACTGAAACAAGGACAATGCATACATTTACATCATTAAACATTGAGTACTCAACAGCACAGACAGTTGCAAGCCAAGATACTGCATCAATGGTAAGGACAGTCACAAATCAAGGTAGTACACCTTTCACAACAATAACTGCAGCAAATGTGATAAAGGATGAAGAGGTGTCAACAAAGCCTTCTAAATTCACAATCACTGATGTTTCAGAGACACAGTTCCCCTCTACTCAAACTGGGCATTTATATGAAAAAATATCTGAAAGCACTTTCACAAGCGCAATGACCTCAGACAAGACAACTCCTAAAGATGTTCTTTCATCTTTAAGTCTTTCTTCAAGCTTTCCATCAACTGAGTCTAAAGCTTCAGTAGATGAAACCTTAGAGAAGACAACTGCCAAAGATTTACTGTCACCAACCTCTTTACTGCACACCACAAGCAGATCAGACAAAGATTTTACCAAACCTACAGAAACAATCTCAGTGTCCAGCTCAACAGATGCTGCTGTCACAAGCACACAATCATCAGAGAAGACAACAGCCAGAGATTTTTTTTCAACTTCAACAATAGCATCAATTTTGTCTTTTTCAGAGTCTGAGAGTTCAGGAGATGGAACAGTAGATGTCACAGTCTCAGAGTTCACAACAAGCAGGCCTTCACTGTACACTACTCCAAAACCTGACAAAGACCTCACCAAAACAACATTTCATACAACAGAAGCAGTATCAGTGTCCAGCTCAACACATGTTGAAGATCAGAAAACTGAGACAGACAGCACTGGACCTGCTTCATCTTTTATGTCTACTGCATATATTACAAAACATTCATTTACGTCATTGAGCACTGGGGAATCAACAGGACAGACCGTTACAAGCCAAGATACTGCATCAACAGTAAGAACAGTCACAAATCAAGGTAGTACACCTTTCACAGCAACAACTGCAGCAACTGTTATAAGGGATGAAGAAGTGTCAACAAAACCTTCTGAATCCACAATCATTGATGACTCAGAGACACAGTTCTCTACTCAAACTGGACATTTGGATGAAATTTCATCTGAAAGCACTGTTACAAGCACAATGCCCTCTGACAAGACAACTCCTAAAAATGTTCTTTCATCGAGTCTTTCTTCAAGCTTTTCATCAACTGAGTCTGAAGCTTCTGTAGATGAGACCTCAGAGAAGACAACTGCCAAAGATTTAGTGTCACCAATCTCTTTACTGCACACCACAAGCAGATCAGACAAAGATCTTACCAAACTAACAGAAACAATAACAGTATCCAGCTCAACAGATGCTGCTGTCACAAGCACAAAATCATCAGAGAAGACAACAGCCAGAGATTTTTTTGCAACTTCAAGAATAGCATCAATTTTGTCATCTTCAGAGTCTGAGAGTTCAGGAGATGGAACAGGAAATGTCACAAGCTCAGAGTTCCCAACTAGCTGGCCTTCACTGTACACTACTCAAAAACCAGACAAAGACCTCAGCAAAACAACATTTCATACAACAGAAACAGTATCAGTGACCAGCTCAACACATGTTGAAGATGAGAAAACTGAGACAGATAGCATTAAACCTGCTTCATCTCTTATGTCTACTGCATCTATTACAAAAGTTACATTTACATCATTGAGCACTGGGGAATCAACAGGGCAGACTGTTACAAGCAAAGATACTGCATCAACAATAAGAACATTCACAAATCAAGGTAGTACACCTTTCACAGCAACAACTGCAGCAACTGTCATGAAGGATGAAGAAGTGTCAACAAAACCTTCTGAATCCACAATCATTGATGACTTAGAGACACAGTTCTCAACTACTCAAACTGGAGATTTAGATAATATTTCATCTGAAAGCACTATTACAAGCACAATGACCTCAGACAAGACAACTCCCAAAGATGTTCTTACATTGAGTTTTTCTTCAAGCTTTCCATCAACTGAGTCTGAAACTTCAGGAGATGAGACCTCAGAGAAGACAACTGCCAAAGATTTAGTGTCGCCAATCTCTTTACTGTACACTACAAGCAGATCAGACAAAGATCTTACCAAACTTACAGAAACAATCTCAGTGTCCAGCTCAACAGATGCTGCTGTCACTAGCACAAAATCATCAGAGAAGACAACAGCCAGAGATTTTTTTGCAACTTCAACAATAGCATCAATTTTGTCATCTTCAGAGTCTGAGATTTCAGGAGATGGAACAGAGGATGTCACAAGCTCGGAGTTCACAACTAGCAGGCCTTCACTGTACTCTACTCCAAAACCAGACAAAGACCTCAGCAAAACAACATTTCATACAACAGAAGCAGTATCAGTGTCCAGCTCAACACATGTTGAAGATCAGAAAACTGAGACAGATAGCATTAAACCTGCTTTATCTTTTATGTCTACTGCATCTATTACAAAACATACATTTACATTGAGCACTGGGGAATCAACAGGACAGACTGTTACAAGCCAAGATACTGCATCAACAGTAGAAACAGTCACCATTCAAAGTAGTACACCTTTTACAGCAACAACCGCAACAAGTGTGATGCAGGATACAAAAGTGACAACAAAACCTTTTGAATCTACAATCATAGATGTTTCAGAGATGCAGTTCTCCACTGCTCAAACTAAACGTTTAGATGAAATTTCATCTGAAATCACCATCACAAGCAAAATGACCTCAGACAAGACAACCCCAAAAGATGTTCTTTCATCATCGAGTCTTTCTTCAAGATTTCTATACACTGAGTCTGAAGCTTCAGGAAATGAGTCATCTGAAATGTTTATCAAAGAGTTCACAACAAGTTTTCCACTCCATACTATAACTATATCAGATCAAGAACTTACAAGAACACCATCTGACACAGAAACAATGATTCCAGTTTCAAGGTCAGCACATACTGAAACTGTAAGCAATCAGACAATTGAGGCACAGAGTAGAGAACCTGTTTCTATGCTTGATTCTATTGAAACAAGGACAATGCATACATTTACATCATCAAACACTGAGTACTCAACAGCACAGACACTTGCAAGCCAAGATACTGCATCAACAGTAGAAAAAGTCACTAATCAAGGTAGTACAACTTTCACAACAACCACAGCAAATGTGATGAAGGATAAAGAAGTGTCAACAAAACCTTCTGAATTCACAATCATTGATGTTTCAGAGACTCAGTTCTTGTCTGCTCAAACTGGGCATTTAGATGAAATTTCATCTGAAAGTACTGTCACAAGCAAAATGACCCCTGACAAGACAACTCCCAAAGATGTTCTTTCATCAAGTCTTTCTTCAAGCTTTCCATCAACTGAGTCTAAAGCTTCAGGAGATGGGACCTCTGAAATGTTTATCAAACAGTTCACAACAAGTTCTCCACTTCATACGACAACTATATCAGACCGAGAACTTACAAAAACACCAACTGACAGAGAAGAAACTATTTCTGTTTCAATCTCAACACATGCTGAAACTGTGAGAGATCAGACAATTGTGGCACAGAGTAGACAACCTGATCCTATGCTTGATTCTACTGAAACAAGTACTTTGCATACATTTACATTATCAACCACTGAAAATTCAACAGAACACTCAACTACAAGTCAAGATATACCATCAGCAAAGCCATCTGTATTAACCAGTACTGATGTTTCAGAGACTTCCTTCTCTTCTTTTCAGACCGATCATTTAGACAAAACATCTGAAATCACTGTTACAGTGACCTCTGACAAGACAATTGCCAAAGATTTTGTGTCACCAACCTCCTTACTGCACACCGCAAGCAGATCAGATGAAGATCTTACCAAACCTACAGAAACAATAACAGTATCCAGCTCAACAGATGCTGCTGTCACAAGCACAAAATCATCAGAGAAGACAACAGCCAGGGATTTGTTTTCAACTTCAAGACTAGCATTAATTTTGTCATCTTCAGAGTCTGAGAGTTCAGGAGATGGAACAGTAGATGTCACAAGCTCAGAGTTCACAACTAGCAGGTCTTCACTATACACTACTCCAAAGCCATACACAGACCTTAGAAAAACAACATTTCATACAACAGAAGCAGTATCAGTGTCCAGCTCAACACATGTTGAAGATCAGAAAACTGAGACAGACAGCACTGGACCTGCTTTATCTTTTATGTCTACTGCATCTATTACAAAACATTCATTTACATCATTGAGCACTGGGGAATCAACAGGACAGACCGTTACAAGCCAAGATACTCCATTAACAGAAAGAACAGTCACAAATCAAAATAGTACACCTTTCACAGAAACAACTGCAGCAACTGTTATGAAGGATGAAGAAGTGTCAACAAAACCTTCTGAATCCACAATCATTGATGACTTAGAGACACAGTTCTCCTCTACTCAAACTGGAGATTTAGATAATATTTCATCTAAAAGCACTGTTACAAGCAAAATGACCTCAGACAAGACAACTCCCAAAGATGTTCTTTCATGGAGTCTTTCTTCAATTTTTTCATCAACTGTTTCTGAAGATTCAGTAGATGAGACCTCAAAGAAGACAATTGCCAAAGATTTGGTGTCGCCAATCTCTTTACTGTACACCACAAGCAGATCAGACAAAGATCTTACCACACCTACAGAAACAATCTCAGTGTCCAGCTCAACAGATGCTGCTGTCACAAGCACAAAATCATCAGAGAAGACAACAGCCAGAGATTTTTTTTCAACTTCAACAATAGCATCAATTTTGTCATCTTCAGAGTCTGAGAGTTCAGGAGATGGAACAGTGGATGTCACAAGCTCAGAGTTCACAACTAGCAGGTCTTCACTGTACTCTACTCCAAAACCAGACAAAGATCTCAGCAAAACAACATTTCATACAACAGAAGCAGTATCAGTGTCCAGCTCAACACATGTTGAAGATCAGAAAACTGAGACAGACAGCACTGGACCTGCTTCATCTCTTTTATCTACTGCATCTATGACAAAACATACATTTACGTCATTGAGCACTGGGGAATCAACAGGACAGACCGTTGCAAGCCAAGATACAGCATCAACAGTAAGAACAGTCACAATTCAAAGTAGTACACCTTTCACAGCAACAAATGTAATGCAGGATACAAAAGTGACAACAAAACCTTCTGAATCTACAATCATTGATGTTTCAGAGATGCAGTTCTCCACTGCTCAAACTAAACGTTTAGATGAAATTTCATCTGAAATCACCATCACAAGCAAAATGACCTTAGACAAGACAACCCCAAAAGATGTTCTTTCATCATCGAGTCTTTCTTCAAGCTTTCTATCAACTGAGTCTGAAGCTTCAGGAGATGAGACATCTGAAATGTTTATCAAAGAGTTCACAACAAGTTTTCCACTTTATACTACAACTATATCAGATCAAGAACTTACAAGAACACCATCTGACACAGAAACAACGATTCCAGTTTCAAGGTCAGCACATACTGAAACTGTAAGCAATCAGACAGTTGAGGCACAGAGTAGAGAACCTGTTTCTAAGCTTGATTTAACTAAAACAAGGACAATGCATACATTTACATCATTAAACACTGAATACTCAACAGCACAGACTGTTGCAAGCCAAGATACTGCATCAACAGTAAGAAAAGTCAATAATCAAGGTAGTACACCTTTCACAACAATAACCGCAGCAAATGTGATTAAGGATGAAGAAGTGTCAACAAAACCTTCTGAATCCACAATCATTGATGTTTCAGAGACACAGTTCTCCTCTACTCAAACTGGAGATTTAGATACAATTTTATCTGAAAGCACTGTCACAAGCAAAATGACCTCAGACAAGACAACTCCCAAAGATTTTCCTTCATTGAGTCTTTCTTCAAGCTTTCCATCAACTGTGTCTGAAGATTCAGTAGATAAGACCTCAGAGAAGACAATTGCCAAAGATTTGGTGTCGCCAGTTTCTTTACTGCACACCACAAGCAGATCAGACAAAGATCTTAACACACCTACAGATACAACCTCAGTGTCCAGCTCAACAGATGCTGCTGTCACAAGCACAAAATCATCAATGAAGACAACAGCCAGAGATTTTTTTGCAACTTCAAGAATAGCATCAATTTTGTTATCTTCAGAGTCTGAGAGTTCAGGAGATGGAACAGTAGATGTCACAATCCCAGAGTTCACAACTAGCAGGCTTTCACTGTACACTACTCCAAAACCAGACAAAGACCTCAGCAAAACAACATTTCATACAACAGAAGCAGTATCAGTGTCCAGCTCAACACATGTTGAAGATGAGAAAACTGAGACAGATAGCATTAAACCTGCTTCATCTCTTATGTCTACTGCATCTATTACAAAACCAACATTTACGTCATTGAGCACTGGGGAATCAACAGGACAGACCGTTACAAGCCAAGCTACTGCATCAACAGTAAGAACAGTCACAAATCAAAGTAGTACACCTTTCACAGCAACAACTGCAGCAACTGTTATGCAGTATGAAGAAGTGTCAACAAAACCTTCTGAATCCACAGTCATTGATGACTTAGAGAGACAGTTCTCCACTACTCAAACTGGACATTTAGATGAAATTTCATCTGAAAGCACTGTTACTACCACAATGACCTCAGACAAGACAACTACCAAAAATGTTCTTTCATCGAGTCTTTCTTCAAGCTTTCCATCAACTGAGTCTGAAGCTTTAGGAGATGAGACCTCAGAGAAGACAACTGTCAAAGATTTATTGTCACCAACCTCTTTAATGCACACCACAAGCAGATCAGACAAAGAACTCACCAAACCTACCGAAACAATCTCAGTGTCCAGCTCAACAGATGCTGCTGTCACTAGCACAAAATCATCAGAGAAGACAACAGCCAGAGATTTTTTTTCAACTTCAACAATAGCATCAATTTTGTCATCTTCAGAGTCTGAGAGTACAGGAGATGGAACAGTGGATGTCACAAGCTCAGAGTTCACAACTAGCAGGCCTTCACTGTACTCTACTCAAAAACCAGACAAAGACCTCAGCAAAACAACATTTAATACAACACAAGCAGTATCAGTGACCAGCTCAACACATGTTGAAGATCAGAAAACTGAGACAGATAGCATTAAACCTGCTTTATCTTTTATGTCTACTGCATCTATTACAAAACATACATTTACACTAAGCACTGGGGAATCAACAGGGCAGACTGTTTCAAGCCAAGATACTGCATCAACAGTAGAAACAGTCACAATTCAAAGTAGTACACCTTTCACATCAACAACCGCAACAAGTGGGATGCAGGATACAAAAGTGACAACAAAACCTTCTGAATCTACAATCACTTATGTTTCAGGGATGCAGTTCTCCACAGCTCAAACTAAACATTTAGATGAAATTTCATCTGAAATCACCATCACAAGCACAATGACCTCAGACAAGACAACCCCAAAAGATGTTCTTTCATCATCGAGTCTTTCTTCAAGCTTTCCATCAAGTGAGTCTGAAGCTTCAGGAGATTATACCTCTGAAATGTTTATCAAAGGGTTCACAACAAGTTCTCCACTTTTTACTACAACTATATCAGATCAAGAACTTACAAGAACACCATCTGACACAGACACAACGATTCCAGTTTCAAGCTCAGCACATACTGAAACTGTAAGCAATCAGACAATTGAGGCACAGAGTAGAGAACCTGTTTCTATACTCGATTCTACTGTAACAAGGACAATGCATACATTTACATCATCAAACACTGAGTACTCAACAGCACAGACAGTTGCAAGCCAGGATACTGCATCAACAGTAAGAAAAGTCACAAATCAAGGTAGTACACCTTTCACAACAACCGCAGCAAATTTGATGCAAAATGAAGAAGTGTCAACAAAACCCTCTGAATCCACAATCAATAATGTTTCAGAGATGCAGTTCTCCACTGCTCAAACTGGACATTTAAGTGAAATTTCATCTGAAAGCACTGTCATAAGCACTATGACCTCAGACAAGACAACTCCCAAAGATGTTCTTTCATTGAGTCTTTCTTCAAGCTTTTCATCAACTGAGTCTGAAGCTTCTGTAGATGAGACCTCAGAGAAGACAATTGCAAAAGATTTAGTGTCACCAACTTCTTTACTACACACCACAAGCATATCAGACAAAGATTTTACCACACCTAAAGAAACAACCTCAATGTCCAGCTCAACAGATGTTGCTGTCACAAGCATAAAACCATCAGAGAAGACAACAGGCAGAGATATTTTTTCAACTTCAAGAATAGCATCAATTTTGCCATCTTTGGAGTCTGAGAGTTCAGGAGATGGAACAGTGGATGTCACAATCTCAGAGTTCACAACTAGCAGGTCTTCACTGTATACTACTCCAAAACCAGACAAAGACCTCAGCAAAACAACATTACATACAACAGAAGCAGTATCAGTGACCAGCTCAACACATGTTGAAGATGAGAAAACTGAGACAGATAGCATTGAACCTGCTTCATCACTTATGTCTACTGCATATGTCACAAAACATACATTTACGTCATTGAGCACTGGGGAATCAACAGGACAGACAGTTGCAAGCCAGGATACTGCATCAACAGTAAGAACAGCCACAAATCGAGGTAGTACACCTTTCACAGGAACAACTTCGCCAACTGTGATGCAGGATGAAAAAATGTCAACAAAACCTTCTGAATCCACAATCCCTTATGTTTCAGAGATGCAGTTCCCCTCTGCTCAAACTGGACATTTAAATGAAATTTCATCTGAAAGTACTGTCACAAGCACAGTGCCCTCAGACAAGACAGCTCCCAAAGATGTTCTTTCACCATCAAGTCTTTATTCAAGCTTTCCATCAACTGAGTCTGAAGCTTCAGGAGATAATACCTCTGAAATATTTATCAAAGAGTTCACAACAAGTTCTCCACTTTATACTGCTACTATATCAGATCAAGAACTTACAAGAACACCATCTGACAAAGAAGAAAGGATTTCATTTTCAAGCTCAACACATGGTGAAACTGAAACCGAACAGACAATTGAGGCACAGAGTAGAGAACCTGTTTCCATGCTTGATTTTACTGAAACAAGTACCGTGCATACATTTACATCATCAAACACTGAGTATTTAACAGAATACACAATGTCAAGTCAGGATATAAAATCACATACAACTACAACTACAGCCATTTTGTTGAAGGACAAAGAGCTGTCAGCAAACCCATCTGTATTAATCAGTACTGATGTTTCAGAGACAATGTCCAGCTCAACAGATCCTGATGTCACAAGCACAACATCACCAGAGAAGACAACAGTCAGAGATTTTTCTTCAACTTCAAGAATAGCATTTATGATTTTGTCATCTTCAGAGTCTAAGAGTTCAGGAGATGAAACAGTAGATGTCACAAGCTCAGAGTTTAAAACCACAAGTTTAAAACCACCACATCCTTCATCTCACACTACTTCAAAACCAGAGCAAGACCTTAGCAAAGCAACATTTACTACAACAGAAGCAGTATCAGTGACCATCTCAACACATGCTAAAAATCAGAGTACGGAGACAGAGAGCATTAAAGCTGCTTCCTCTATTGTTTCCACCGCATTCAGCACATTAAATACATTTACATCATTGACAGCTGGTGAATCAACAGAACAGACAGTTTCAAGTCAAGATAATAAATCAGCAGCACAGACAGGTTCAATTCAAGATAGTACACCTTTCACCGCAACAACCCCAGCAATTGCGATGTTAAATGAAGAAGTGTCAACAAAAACTTCTGAATTCACTGTCATTGATGTTTCAGAGACTTTGTTCTCCTCTGCTCAAACTAGAAATTTAGATGAGATATCATCCAAGAGCACTGTCACAAGCAAAATGACATCAGAGAAGATGACTTCTAATATACTCTCTTCATCAAGTTTTTCTTCAAGCTTTCCACCAACTAAGACTGAAGTATCAGAAGATGACACATCTGACATCTTTAGCAAAGAGCTCATAACAAGTTCTTATTTTCAAACTACATACCAACCAGACCAAGAACTTACAAAAACCTCATCTGACGGAGAAGAAACAATATCAGTTTCAAGCTCAGCACATGCTGACACTACAAGAGATCAGAAAATTAATGCACATAGTAGAGAACCTGTTTCTGTGCTCGACTCTTTTGAAAGTAGTACAGTGCATACATTTACATCATCAAGCACTGAGTATTCAACAGAACATGCAGTCACAAGTCAAGGTATTACATCAAATGTAGCTACAATCATAGCAACTGTGGTTGAGGATAAGGAGCTGACAGCAAAAACATCTGAATCAAGCTTTATTGATGTTTCGGATACTTTCCTTTCTTCTACCCAGATCAATCATTTAGACAACACTACTCAGACTGAAAACAGTGGCATATTGACCTCAGAGAAGACAACTACCAAAGATGCAGGATCACCAATCTCTTTACTGCTTACCACAAGCAGATCAGACAAAGAACTCACCAAACCTACAGAAATAATCTCAGTGTCCAGCTCAACAGATGCTGCTGGCACAAAATCATCAGAGAAGACAACAGCCAGATATTTTTTTTCAACTTCAACATTAGCATCAATTTTGTCATCTTCAGAGTCTGAGATTTCAGGAGATGGACCAGTAGATGTCACAAGCTCAGAGTTAACAACTAGTAGGTCTTCACTATACACCACTCCAAAACCAGAACAAGCCCTTAGCAAAGCAACATTTCAAACACCAGAACCAATTTCAGTGACCAGCTCAACACATGCTGAAGAACAGAGAACTGATAATTCAGGAGATAGCACCTCTGAGAACATCTCACATCACTCAACTAAGGCGCATAGTAGTGAACCGGTTTCTACTCTTGGTTCTACTGTAACTAGCACAGTACATACATTTACATCATTGATCACTGGCGAATCAACAGCACAAACAGTCACAAGTCAAGATATCACATCAGACACAGCAACAACCACAGCAACTGTGATGCAAGACAAAGAGCTGTCAGTAAAACCATCTGAGTCCACCATCAATTATAAGTCAGAGACTGTGTTTACTTCTGATCAGACTAATGACAAAACATCTCAAAGCACTGTCACAATGATCTCAGAGAAAACAACTCTGTCATCATCATATTTTTCTTCTAGATTGCCATCAACAGAATCCGACTTTTCTGGGGATTACAGCTCTGAAATGCTAAGCAAAGAGTTTACAACAAGTCCTTTGCCATACACTACAACAAAATCCGGCCTAGAATTCAGTAAAACCCCAAACACAATCTTAGTTTCCAGTGATGAAGATAGAATTACGCCAACAGCTAAATCCCATGATCAGTATAATGTAGACACTGATGAGACAGAAGTTCAAGAAAGTGACCACACATTAGAACCAGTGAGGCCTGACAGTTTATCCACAACTGAGTTGTTTTCAGGGAAAGTCCAAAAAGTAATTACAGAATCATCTATTGAACAAGGCAGTGGAGAACTAAGTGAAAGCTCTGGTGAAATATCCTCTTCTGCTGTAGAATCAATTCCTCCCCAAGTTACTCCGTCTGAGGTCAAGACAACTGCTGTTGGATCTAAGTCAATTGCTGATTCTAGAGAGCAGTCATCAGACAATATAACAACTACAATATATGTTAGAACAACTGTAAATGGATATGCAGAATTAAGCTCAGTTACTTTTGAAGAGGTAGAAAGCTCTGATCATCAGACAACAGAAATGTTTACCACAGCTCCCTTGGAGCTTTTGACTACAAGCCTCCCAGGGTCTGCTATTGCCACTCACACTGCCTCAGTACCTTCTAGACCATATCATACTATTACTGATGCACAGTCAGCAAGACACACCACAGAATCAATGATTAGCCATGCTGCAGTCAAAACAAGTAAGCCAAGCCACATCACATCTTCAACTGTCCAAACAACACCTGCTTCTTTAAGCCACAGCCAACCATTAATTGACAATACTAGTTACAAAGTGACTTCAGCTACAGCCAGGACAAGACCAATCACATTATCTTCTAGTGAAAACCATAGCAAGCACACTACACTTTCATCTGTAGATGCAGAGGGTGACGCAGGAAATGAAGAAAAGTCAGGCATGTCCACTCCCATGGGTGTTTCAGCAGCAGCCATCAGAACTCAAACTAGGACAGTTCATATAACTAGCACAGAACCTGACAGCCGCATCACTATAACACAAAGTTCCAACACTATCACCTCTGTACTTTCAGACAGTGAGGGTTCTGGTGTTGTAGAAGATGACCGGGAAACTGCACAGTTAGACGGGTCTGGTGAGGAGGAAAGTGTGAGCACAACAGCTGAACTATATGATAATTATACTGTGGCCACAGATGAGGCAGAAATTAGTGACAATGTTTACACCTCAAAGCCAGTAAGTATTGAGAGTTTCTCCCATTCTGTGTCTTCCACAACTGAATCAACGTTACTGTCTAGCACAGTACAAACAGTAATCTCGGCTACTGAAGTTACAGCTGAAAGTGAATTGGAAGATGACAGCTCTGGTAGTGAATTTTCACCAGAAGCTCTTGAAACAGTTCCTGGAGATATGTCATCTATTGGCAAAACACAGGGAACTGAAGATGCATTACTTGATAAAGTAGTATCAAGTACATCTGAGACTTTATCAGTTTCAGGCACACAAAATAGTACCTTACAGACAAGAACTATAAATACAGACCTAAGTAGTCAAACCAAAGAAGATGGCAAGGAATTAACGTTACCAGACGATTCTACAGGTTATGTATTCAGAACACCAACAACTAAGTCATATGATGATCTAACTGTAAGAACAGATGAGGCAGAAGTGGATGAAACTGAGAAGACAAGTTTCTCAAGTGCTGCATCTGTCATTGGCAGTACAGATGTCGTACATCAGTCAACTTCATCCCCATCCCCCTCAGTCCTGATCTCCACGCAGCCAGCTGTAACATTTACGATTTCAAATTTGGAGGATGATAGTGGGGACGACTCAACAGAGACAGATGGAGCAGAAGATGGATCAGGTGATGATACAACTTATGTGACATCATCACCTTTGCTCTCAAGCTCAGAGATGACAGAAGCATCCATTAGCATAACACCAGTTAGCTCAGTCAGCAGTGGAGAAGATATTACAGCCACAGTAGTTTTACACAGCACCATAACACCTGAAATGCAAACTGTGTCCTCGAGCACAGATGCAGAAAGTTACTCTCTGTTCTCAGAGACCGAGCAGGAACCAACTGGTGGTTCTGTTTTAGACTCAACAGCCACTAGCTTTACTGTTCTTGTCACATCTTCTGATATGGCAACCAGCCATATTGCATCGCCTTCAGCAGTGACATCTCAAGCTTCTGTGTCCACCCCTACTTCATCTGTTTCCTTGAAGGACACTGTTGATCAAGTCACTTCAACAAGCTCTGTCTTAATATTCACAGAGGAAGAGGAAGATGAAGATAAGCTGTTTTTGACTGCAACGGCGAGTATGAGACATACTCTCAATCCAGAAGTTACCACTAAGGACGACATGATCATTGATGTAGATACTATGTCTGTTTTAGAGCAGTCTTCACCTTTTGCCCTTACAATTGTTACAGAGGAAGCAGCTGGGGTAACCCCAGTTGTCATTACAGCACATCCCTCAAACCTAATGACAGAGGAACCAGTGGGTTCTGGAATGGATAGTACTGAGTTACCTGAGTTCTATGCAAAATCCGAAACCATAGCAGATGAATCAATACACAGACATCAACAGGCAACATCAACCCCAGATATTCTTCAAAGCAGTCCAACATATGTAGATAGAGAACCACAAGCAACACAAACTGAACAATCTGAAAATACAAATAATGATTTACCTGAACAATATAGTCATATCTTCACAGAACCCACTCTTACAATGGGGACACTGACTAATAACTCTGCATCCTCCGCATCTACTGAAAGTTATATAAAAACATCCACTTTATCCTCCCAATCAGTTCTAATCATTCAGGCTGGATCATCACAAGCATCTATAACTAAAAGTGAAACAATGTCATCAACAGCTGTAGAAGGACAGACAACACCTCTACCCTTACATAGAATGACTTCTGAGGCAGAAGCTTCAAGTCAGTTAACAAACCAATATGAACCAACTCAAACAACAACTAGTATTCTATCAGTGAACACAGAGGAAATACTAGAAATGACAAGTGCTAATGATATTGAACAAAGTACTCCCTCTTCTGATATGGTAAGTCAGGAGAGCGAATCAACAAACGCAGATGTATCGTCTGATATTTCTGAGAAAACCACAAGTGCATTGTCAACAGATGATGACTCAGGTGACCAAATAATTGATTCATTTACAGAGTTGCCTGAATTAACAGAATCATTTTTAACAGATGAATCAGTGACATTTTCTATGGAGACTGATATTGAGATTCACTTTGCAACAACCCTCTCACCCCAAGCAAATACAGTAACTGATGGAGAACTACACCAGGAAGCTTTGTCTGAGATGACAGTGACACATAAGGACAACACAGAATTCAGGACTGATGAAGACCAACCATTGTCATTAACAACAATGCCCACTCCCCTTACATCTGAATCAAATTTTAATACAACAATAAACATAGTAACATTAGTGGGATCTCTTTCCTCTACCTCCATTCCTGGACAGAGTAAAAAAACAGGAACCACACTTCCCTCTGAGGAATTAACTGATGATTCCATAGATTATGACACAAAAACAGAACCTTACAATGTTGAGTCCATTCCAGATTTTTACAGCTCAGAAAATGTGACAAACACTAATGATGCAACCCAAACTGGAAATGAGAAGAGCTTCACCACCTCACAGCCTGATATTGAGACTGGTTTTGATACCACCTCACAATATGAAATTGAGACTGGTTTTGATACCACCTTACAGCCTAATGTTGCAACTGGTTTTGAGACCAGCTCACATTCTGATACTGATAATACCTTTGAAGACATCTCAGAATCTACAGCTGACCCAGACATTGAGGCTTCCCCAAAGCCCAGTGAGAATAGTGCAAGCACTGATGGAAATAAAGTGAACCAGACAGACTTTGAGAGTGCAGCTCCCTTTGATGTTAGCTCAGAAGCTGTGACAAGCTTCAATGACATAACCCAACCTGACAGTGTGAGAATCTTCACCATGTCAAAACCTGAGATTGAGACTGGCTTTGAGGCCACCTCACAGCCTGATATTGGGACTAGTTTCGAGACCAGCTCATATTCTTATACTCAGACTACCTTTGATGTCATATCAGAATCAACAGCTGGCCCAGAGATTGAGGGTTCCTCAAAACCCAGTGAGGATAGTGCAAGCACTGATGGAGACCAAGTGAACCAAACAGCAGCTCTCTTAGGTGTTAGCTCAGAACATGTGACAAGTACCAGTGACATTACCCAACCTGAAAATATGGGAAGCATCACCAGGTCACAGCCTGACATTGGGACTGATTTTGAGACCACCACACAGTCTGACATTGAGAGTACATTTGAGAACATCTCAGAATCAACAGCTCACCCAGAAGTTGGGATGTCCTCAGAACCTGATGAGGATAATGGAACAAGCATTGATGGAAACACAGAAAATGATGCTTCTGTGACCAGCCCACCATTCTCTAGAACAAGTGGTTTAGGGCGAAGCACATCTGGAGAGGTAACAAATACGTCATCTGAAAAGCATACAACCTCAACAACACCTTCTGAAGTCACAGATGAACCAAATTCTGCTGCCATAAATGAGGAAAAGTACCAGGAAGAAGGTGGACGTGAGGATACAACCCTAGCTGAACAAACAGACATAAGATTTAGGAGCACAGCACAACCTCAATTTGACAACTCTTTTACTTCAAGCATTGTGAAGAGCAGCTCAGAGGAGGGTTCAATTATCAACTCATCATCTGGTGAGGTTCAAGCTGTTATTCTGTCCACTACAACAGGCTCACCTTTACTTCTAACACCTGAGAATGATGTAAAGATTGTCAGTAAAGAAACTTCCTCAGAAAAACAAGAGGCAGCTGGTCAGATCGAAGAAGCTGTAACTCTAAAAACTGAGATTCCAATTCAAGAAATGGATCTGATGACTTCATCAGTGCCTACAACTCAGAGTGAGACTGCAACAACATTAGCTTCTCCTGAAGATGTTTTAGAGGCTGCTTTAGTTGAAAGTTCACCTACAAGTGCACAGAATGAAACCACAACACGTGGTGCAAAAGATGTTGCGTACCCAATGATTGCACAGACCGTTGAAATTCCAGGTATGATACAGAAATTATTAAAAAGACAAATTTGACAGAATGCTTCACCTGTATAATTATATACCTAAATCCACTCTGTCTTCTGCAGGTGTCCACTCCTGTTCTGATGCTGTTTGCTTGAATGGTGGTACATGTATAAAAACAGGCGGTGCTCAAATCTGCATATGTCAACCTGGATACAGTGGTGAACAATGTGAAATAGGTAAGCTAAGTCTGATTTTCAATCATTTATTAAAGGTGCACAGCAGAAATGTTTTAAATTTTAGAAGGGATATATCTGCAGATACTTAAGATACTTGATTAATATAGCAATGTTTGTGATTCTCTACAACAACAGTTGTTATTTTTTGTTACTTTGAGCGGTAGGTTTAGGGTAGGGGTAGAGGGTAGATTTTAATAAACCTGATATAATGGGCAGTTTAATAAATAATATACATAATCATTGTTAACTTCCTGTTGGAGATGTATACCAGCTGTGGTTGAAACTCAAAATTACAAGAACTTTTTAATTTTGATTAGTTATTTCTGTGAGCATATATTTGATTTGATTATTTTAGCAGATAAATAGAAAACATGTCATTGTAGTGCTGAGCCTTTTTTAGTTAAATGTAAACAAACAATTATAAATAAAAATTGTTTAACACTACAACCGCCTGGGGTCAATTTTACCCATCACTGTTATTCAAATGTATATAACAGACCTTCAATAAAACATTCAAGCCTCCCAGTCACTGACTTTTACTAAAATTGAAGTATTTAAAATTCCCAGATATTAAAAATTGTTTAGGTAAAAAGATTAAAAAGTGGTACATTTATATCTATAAGCGCCAGCCTGGGTCAAATTTACCCACTATACAAAATGCTTGTATTTTTGCACTGCTCATATTACTCACCAATGAATTAATTTTTTTTTTTCATGTGGTTGTAATAAATGAATAAAGTCACAGTGACTAACAGAAAGCAGGTTGGCAAAATAAGCTATGCATCAGAGTATGATGGCTCAAATTTAGATATTTTAACCTACTCATAATCTTTACCTAAAATAATCGTGTTATCCTGAAATAATAATTACATGAGTCAAGACACTTTTTGTTAACAGTGGTGAAAATAGTGAAATAGTGAAATAGTATGTTTGTTTTTTGGCAATTCCTAAACTAAATTTGTGCTGGGTAAAATTTACCCGCACAAGCAATTTTAGGAATACAGTGACCTCCGGTAGTTCTAGTGTTAAATGTGTAGCAAAGCTTACAAAACAATATTAATATAATGATATTTTAAAACCAATACCCCAACCTCACTTCTCCTGATTTTTCCACTATCACGACCAAACAAGGTTGTTTTTTGGGACTAAGTCTGATACAGTGGTCAAAATAATATTAAAACACTTAGTGCACCATTAAATGAGTGAATCAGGGAAAATACATTTTTCATAGTGTATTGTTTCAAATACATAAATATTTTGTGTGTTATTTTTTACGTTTTACATTATTTACTAGCATTATTATTTTGATCTGTTTTTTAGACATTGATGAATGTCACACAAACCCTTGTCGTAATGGAGGAACATGCATTGATGGCCTAAACTCATTCACCTGTCTATGTCTTCCAAGTTATGCAGGAGCACTATGTGAACAAGGTAAGGCTATATTTATCTTATAAGCTCTTTACATTTTTACACATACATTTGAAGCTGTCTAGAGAAGGCAATCACTGAAGTCACAGCACTGGATTTTTCCACTTTCAAATATGGTGTGAAGCCACACGGCCGGCTATGGAGATCTACCTTGTGAACATCTAAGCTTTTATATGCAACCATCGTTAATAAAAAATCTCAGACATACTTTACAGATATGAGTTTGGAAAATCTAACTCACTCTTTGGTAGATCCTGACAGATTACATGTTTTCACGTGATGTAACTGTGTTGTATGCTGGCAGACAGGCATAATGACGCTGTACTTTCCACTATTTAAGATGATACCTTTTCTCACAGCTCATTTGAACAACAAGGTTAATATTATCACTCTTTCCTTTATTCCTCTGTGCATGAATGAGATAACTTACTTGAAAGCTTTATCATTTTATACAAATAAAAATGCTTCAAAATATAAATGACTTATTCTAATATCTGAAATCTGTCATACATATTGGATTTGTCAGGATTAAAACAAATGAAGAACTGACGTCATGACTGTACAGTATTAACTTCTTAAGCATACTACTTAAATACATAATGCTATTTATCTTACACTTCAGACAGAATCAATTTTACAGACACAGTGTCATCTCCACAGAAACTGCCTCCTGTTACTGATTCGGCTGTGACTCAGAGGGTTTTTGTAAGTGGTTCAGTTTCAAAGTTTAAGGAGTCAGATACAGCTGCTGATAGAGAAATATGCTTGTTTAATGCAAACCATGTAATAAATTCATAAACGTCACAAACCAGTGTTGATTCATGTATTGCCACAAAAATATTTGTACCAATTTATTTCACATCATTTAATAAGCAATGATTTATTCATGACTTGATAAATTGCATTGAGTAATACTTTAATATACAGTTGAATTCAGAATTATTAGCCCCCCTTAATTTTTTTATGTTACCCAAATGATTTTAAACACAGAGCAGGGAAATTTTCACAGTATGTCTGATAATATTGTTTTCTTCTGGAGAAAGTCTTATTTGTTTTATTTCGGCTAGACTAAAAGCAGTAAAACAAATTTAACCATTTTAAGGTCAAAATTATTAGCCCCATTTAAGCTATATATATTTTTGATAGTCTACAGAACAAACCATTATTATACAATAACTTGCCCAATTACCGTAAAAATGAAATGGTTAATTTTATTTTCAAGATCTGAGGTGAACTATTTGCTGCTGCTTTCAGTAGTATGGCAATAATTGTCATGGAAAATGGCATTCAAACTCACATTGTTAGCATTTAACACTGTATAAAGTACATGAGGGGTAAACCAACGCATATCAATGATTCGGCATCTACAATTAAGAATGTTAAAGAGGTTTAATATGTATTAATTAAATTATAAACCTTACCATTTCATGAGTGAGTGCATATTCTGTGCTTCTGAGTTGCTGTATTTAAATTTCTATCGTGTTTTGTCTGTTGCAAACTGCCAAATTGCTTGTCACTGTGTATCTCTTCGCATAGCCTGTTGTTGGGACATTGGGGTTACAATGTAACTTGCTCACCTAATGTTTACGTTCCTAATACTTATATGAATTACTAATTAATAACCTCATGTGGAACTCTGAATCTGTGTCTCATTTCAGAGTCTTGTGGCATTTCGGTCACAGACGCATGCTTTGAGAGCCATTCTGAATTAATGAATGTAATACGCAGTTTACCATCAAGGCAACCCGGGTTACTGAATTATAATTGGCTAAACTGGCATTGGGCGATTAAAAGAACCAAAACAAAGACAGCCGTTCCGGCACGTAACACATTTTAAAAGCAGAATATCTGACTTCAGCATTGTTTTTCAGATAAACAAGAATATTCACTTAACATGTTTCTGAATTATTTGCAGACATGTAATGGTATTTTATGCTTTAGAACAGTCAAAAGCATACATACAGCACCTTTAACTACTAGCTTATTACCTGTCTATTATTAAAATATTGACTGTTTTTAGTACTTTTTTAGCATCTTATTCTACACCCCTAATCCTACACAATATCTACATTAAACCCAACTACTGTCTTCTCTTAAACTATTGACATTAACAGCATATTAACCGTTTATGGAGCTAAATATTCTTAATAGCGGTAATTGTACCCTAAAATGAAGTGTGACCTTCTATTTTTGACTTATTCTTTGTTGTACGTAGTAGGCACACCCAGGACCTGGCATTCTCTTTCTCATATGTTAATTTGTAGAAGGTTTAGCGATTTCCCCTCAGCAGTGGTTCTGTCAGGGCAAGTCTGCTTTAATCACAGTGATTTCAAACAAGCAATCAAAGCTATCAGCTTGATGTAGAGCAGCTCAGAGCTGGTCCACAAACATTCAGTAAGTGCATTTACATCCACTTTAAAAGTTTGCTTTCAGTTGGACTAAAACAATCATTTGTCTTTTTATAATACCATGTGGACAGTTTAGTCTGACTGAAGTTGTACCAATAGAAACTCCAGTTCAAAAAACAGTGCATGTAAACACATTTACTGTGATGGATAGGACACAATTTATTTGCAAATGCAATACAATCATCATTTCAAATGCTGATCTAGGTACTTCAAAATCATGTCAATAAGACTTATGTTGTCCTGGATTGATAACATGCTTACTTTAAAACTCCTTAAGCGATAGCTAACGATTATAGCAGTGTGAGTGGCTGTTTGTTTTACAAGCTTGCTTTGCTCTAGTACTTTTTTAAACAATGCCTTTGAGCAAAAGCTCCTAATCTTTTTTCCAAGTCACTCTAGTCATTCTTATGCAGAAATGAATTGTCTTCCTGATATGATAGACACATGGGTGTAGCTCCTGCTGTAAGTGATCTCATTTAACTGGCATGTCATTTAAAATGAGGATGAAAGGGAGTTATAACATATTCCCTCAGGTTCTGTGTGAGTGGGAAATCATTCTCACTTGAAAAGACTGCCACTGAACATAAAAAAGGGAGTTGATTTATTGTATTGATAAGAACACCATTACAGTGCAAGCCCAAAGGGAAAGGACTAATAAAAAGAAACTGACAGCAGCTAATATGAAGCACCTTTTTACCCCCACTTCCATCAACAGGATTATCTCAGTTTCACTGTCTACATGCCAGGTTGATTTGTAATAAATCAAGTGTAATGTACACATTCTTTTTTGTAGATACTGAAACATGCAGCTATGGCTGGCATAAGTTCCAGGGTCATTGCTACAAATACTTTCCCCATCGACGTAACTGGGACACAGCAGAGCGTGAATGTCGTCTCCAGGGGGCACATCTTGCTAGTGTCCTGTCCCATGATGAGCAGCAATACATCAACCGTGAGTATTTATGGGTATTTTTTCTTTGCCTGTAGTTGTATTCCCATGCAAACTAACAGTGCTTAATGGTGAAGAAGCTACTTTGCTAATATTAGATACACTGAAAAAAATATTGGATGTATTGGATGTAACCTTAATTTTATTAAGGTTAAGGGTTAAGCCAACAAATTACATTTAAATTAAATTAAAATTGTTTGTTTAAATTTATCCTATATACATTTTTTGCAACAACTCCAAAAATATGTGTATCATTGTACAGTAGTGGCTAAAACTTATCCCTGAAGAACACATTTGCACAATGTTTGCTTTAATGGCTGTTAATTAAACATTATGATAACCTTTAACTAAACTTTAATCTAACATTTAGTTTAACACTGAAAATATGAAGAACATTTTTTTTTTACTGTGAGGAGGAAAATGCTAAAGCCGTTTAAGGTATTCATTTTATAAATGAATATACATTTAATTTTACCATGAAAAATGCACATAGAACAAAAACCCTAGCAGGTGAATTATACATTTACTGCAATATAACCAGTTAATATTTCATTAGATCACTCAAAATACTTTTGCTGTCAGATTTTTTCGAGAGAACTTAATCGGGTTATGTTCAATCCAGTTAAATTTGTGAACACTTAAATAGATTTTATTTTATTTTTTATTTTTTTTTAGTATTTTTTACAGTGTTCAACAAATACATCAGGAATTAAGTTACCTCACATCATTATCAATGAAACTAGATGAGTTTATGTAGATATTAACAACGACATAATAATACAATATGTATATGAAAAGTTCAGATGCAAAACCCTGTGCCATTTGAAGTTTCAACCGAAAATTAGCATTTTCTCAGTCTCCTTTGTTTATGTTGACTCATTTCACTTTGAAGACCAGGAAAAGGAATTATTCCTTGCCATGAAAAAGGTTTTACTGAACCTACACACAAGAACTTTATAAAACTGCTCATTTTAGAGAAAAATTTCAGACGGCATTTAGAGATTTTTGCATCTGAACTCTTTATGTGTTATAGAATAAAAAAATGAATGAACAAACAAATGAATGAATGAATTAAATAATGAATTAATGTGTCAGTATACCTATAAAACATCACACATCATTTTTGGCCACTATTGTGTGTGTGAAAAAACACTTTTTGTTTGTATTTTTTATCTAAAAGTACCAATGAGAATATTTATGTGACTTTTTTTATGCAAAATTGTAAAGTAATTAAGTTAGTTATTAATAAAGAGACAAATTCTTTTTACAGAATTAGACAGCGGGAGTGATCAGTGGAAAAACAAAAATGCTATATATTTTTAAAAAAATGACAACTAGCTCCTATGTCCTGTGAATTGAAGTTTTTTTTTTTTTGTTCTTATCCTGTAGGTCTTGGCCATGACTACCAGTGGATTGGTCTGAATGATAAGATGTTTGAGAATGATTTCCGGTGGACAGATGGTAGAGTTGTGGTAAGAATATTTTTCAACAATAATTTACTGTTTATCTTTAAGTGGAGTTTTGTGGAGTTTTATAATCAATTGATGCGTTTTCAAAACTCTTAAAACTTATATCATAAAAAGATCACCAAAAGTATACTTTTTTCAAATATTTCAGTATATTTTTAATTGTGTTAGTACGATACACATCATCACAAAATATACTTTTCACCATATAAAATAAGTGTTTCAAAACTTTTCCTTATGAAGGGCCAAAAACCAAACTTGATTGAGTTAAATATGGTTGCCATGGATAATTTCCTAATTTAATTAATATTTAAAAATTACTAGAAAACATTATATTACTAATTCAGTGTTTATTTTGCATTTTATATTGAACTTATTACAGTAAAAACAAAACAATATAATATTCTAACAGAATTACACTAGTTTTTGCCTTAATTTGCTCGCTGATGTCTTCTGCATAGTCCATTATCAGATTCATTTACAACATTTAATTAAAACATTTAATTTCAGTTTGCCTTTTTTGTAGCTCAGAAATAAAACAAACAAACAGAAAAAGGTTCCGTCAAATTAGAAATGACAATCTCTGTGTTAAAGGCATTTGCCCTAACCCTCTCCATCATTCTCACTCTTCTCTCATATTGGATGGTGGGCCAAATCAAAGGTTACAATGGGACAACTTTGGACAGAGGGCTCTAAATTGGGCATCTCTGATATAAAGGATTCATTCATTTTAAGTCCCTTTCATGAAGCTATAACATTTGCTGTTATGGCTGTGCATACGGTTTTACATACAGTAACATTTATTCAGCACAGACCGATGTGAAACATGAACCTTGTATTGTTTGTTACTGAATTAACTGATTGTTAAAAAAAAATAATATATTGTTGTGTTTGTGATTATATTTATTATTCTCAATACTCTTTTTACTGAAACAGTGATTATGTGGAATTAAAATACGTGGAACTACAATGAAATTATGGCATCAGATTTGGCTAGAATGAAAGGTATTGCAAGTATGATCAGTTTAATGTTTTAAAAATGTACAATTTATTGTAAAAAAATAATAAAAAAATTATAATAATAATAATAAAACAGTTTTGAATAGTAGTCAAAATTTTTTTTTTCAAAATTGTCAGACAAGACTGCATGTTGAATAGTTTAAGGATAACTTAAATAAAAGAGTTTAACGCATTTCAGATGTTGACTAATGTATAATATAACAACATAAAATTTTTTAAATAAAAATAAGTAAATAAATAAGTAAATAAACAAATATATTTACTATATATATATATATATATATATATATATATATATATATATATATATATATATATATATATTTATATATATATATATATATTTATATATATATATTCTTTTTTTAATATTTCCCCAATGATGTTTAACAGAGCAAAAAATAAATAAATTTCACAGTATGTCTGATAATATGTTTTTTAGTCTTATTTGTTTTATTTTGACAAGAATAAAAGCAGTTTTAAATTTTTTAAACACCATTTTAAGGACAAAATCATTAGCCTCTTTAGGCAAATTTTTTACCTATAATCTACAAAACAAACCATCGGTATACAATAAATAGCCTAATTACCTTAACCTGCCTAGTTAACCTAATTAACCAAGTAAGCATTTAAATGTCACTTTAAGCTGTGTAGAAGTGTCTTGAAAAATATCTAGTAAAATATTATTTACTGTCATCATGGCAAAAAAAAAAATAGTTATTAGAAATGAGTTATTAAAAATATTATGTTTAGAAATGTGTTGGAAAAAATCTTCTCACTGTTAAACAGAAAACGGGGAAAAAAATAAACAGAGGGGCTAATAATTCAGGGGGGCTAATAATTCTGACTTCAACTGTGTGTGTGTGTGTGTGTGTGTGTGTGTATATATGGCAATATAACCAGTTAATATTTCATTAGTTCTATTAATACCACAAAAATTAAGTTACCTCGTATCATCACAAACGAAACTATATAAGTTTATAATTATATGTAGATATTAGCCATTTAAGATAATATCTACAACAATACAATACAATAAGTTTATGTTATTGAATTTAAATGATTTAGGACAACTTTGATGAAAGAGTTTGATTGTTTGATTCATTTAAAATGTTAACTACGGTATAATAAAACAACATTTTCTAAAAAAAAAAAAAAAAAAAAAAATTATTAGTGAACAAAATCTGTATTTAGTAGGGATGTAACGGTATCAGAATTTCACGGTACGGTAATACCTCGGTATGAATGTCACGGTACGGTATTTATTGAATCATTTACAGGAAAAAAAAAAACTTTTGAAAATACTCCAAAAAAGTGCCAAAAGTGTCAATGACATACAAATTAGCCATCTATCTGTTAGCTTTGAAACAGGAACTTCAATTTTAATAACAAAAAATTATTAAACCATGTAAAAAAATAAAGTTTCAATTTAGTATTGTTGAAAACTCATCACATTTAACATTTAATCACTCACTTAGATAGAGATGGGTTTAAAGAAAAATTATCATATAATTATAATCTGGTAAAAGCTGGTATCTCTGGGTATTTACAATGTCCCCTGCAACAGAAAAAAACCCTCTCATTTGGGACTGAGGTTTCTGGGACAAGAGAGATATGACTTGGCCTATGTTGACAGCAGTGGGGTAACGTTGTGCATTGTCTTTTCCCCACTTGAGAGGACAAACCATGAGTGAGATAGAGGTCTCTTTGCGGTACAAGTCAATGTCTGCATCAATCTGAACAGTGTGCTGTTTTTCTGCAGTCCCCATGACTGTTATTAGTCGTATTCCCCAACTTGCAGGCACGTGCACACATAGTGCTCAACCTGTGCAATGCACATGCCCTTTTTAGTCTTGGATAGAAAATGCCCTTCCAAAACGATCAAAAGTGCCCCCGCGACGCGACACAACCTCCGTCCAGTCCAGCCCTTCAGTAGGCGCGCGACAACACCTCTCTTGGTATGCGCGCTCAACCCCCCCCCTCGGCGCTTTACAATACGCGCGCCACAACACAGCTGATCAGAACGTGCGTGACAGCACCGACATTCAGCACGCGCGCGGCGACAACACCCGCTTTAGGTTCGATCATTTCCATCTTTTTTTCATCTCCGCTACTAGCAGCACACTCCATTTCCGCATTACTGGATCTGTAGCGACAACAGACCGCAAAGGATTATGGCCACGCCGGGGCTGATGGGAAATGAAGTTTCAGCTACCTCCCGTTCGCTTCATTCGCCTGAGCAAATTTTCTCTGAAGACCTATAGTTTTACCGAGTCATGCGACTTCGGTAATATCGAAAAAATTTAATATTGCGGTATGACGGTATTTACAATACCGTTACATCCCTAGTATTTAGATACCATCTTCATGATTTCTCTTAAAGTAGATATGTAAAATTTAAGCAAGATTTTTCAGATGTGAAAATAGGAGCCATATGCAGCCATCTCCCTGGTCTAGAGGTGTTCCTCCATTCAACAGGAAAGTGGTTAATTACAGTTGTTTAGGCTCTCACTTCAAAGATAACGGCAGTGTTTTGTGGGGAAGGGCCAAAAAAGCCCTGGAGGGCAGGAGATAGAGGTTTTCATCTGTGGTAGTCTGATCAGACTGCATGATCAAACTGAAGTGAGTGGAGAGGAAGCTTACAGGTGTGAACAGGTAATGGAGGTGTGAAGGATGCGCAGCACCTGGAATGGGCTGCAGTACATCAAGTGCTAAGTGATTGTTCAATCCCGCTGTTAAAGAGCATATATACATACCAACTTGAGATTGCGAGCACTCTTTTGTGCTCTATGTACAGAAGAGTTTACCACTTCATCCATACAGTATACTTTTGTGTCATCTGAGTTATACAGAAATTGAATATTACATGAATTCCCAAGCAGGAAGTGTGTATTCCATTTGTAAGAGGTTAATAACAGGGTATGATTTTTGTTTTAGAAAAGGTCATCTTTACTGGGCTGCTGAAAAACTACAACCTTTATCATGTATGCAAAAATTATATGCATGTTTAAACTTTACAGTTTTAGTTTTTTTTGGGTGAAAAGATACCTTTGTAAAATAAGTGTCAATATACATTGAAATATATGCTACACACATCACAGTATATCACGAATATATGTAATAGTTCACACAATCTTTTAAATCCATTTAAATATACCAGCTCAAGCCCATTTCAGTGTTTAGCTTTGTGGTCTTTTTTAGTTCTTTTCTTCAGGCAGCTCATTTTCAGTTACTTCTTCTCTGCTTCTATATACAGCTGAGTGATTTTATTCTTGTGTTATATGGCAAATGAGTAGTTGTGTTGTTTGTTGTATTTTGTGAGGTGCTTTATTTGCATAACATCTCTTTCTGTCTGCAGTGCTTTATTGCAATTTAGTGGCGACGTATGTATGTAGTGACCTCTAGTGGAGTTGTTCTTAGCGCCCTCTAGTGGATTATGTTTATATGATAATTACATTATCTTTCTGTGTTCTGTATTGTAAATGCACACTCCTTAAAATTTTTTTATTGATTTTATAAACTGAAAAAAATGATTCAAAGATGATTCCTTAAATTTACTATTTTTTTAAGTTAAGTGGTTGTAAACAATTTATTTAGGTTGAATTTAAACAAACAAATTAAGTTTAACATTACTAAATTTAATTTGTTTAAAATCAACACATTTAAAAAAGAAAAATTGCAACAAGTTTGCAGACATAATTTTTTTCAGTGAACTTTATACCGCTAAAAAACAGAACAGAATTTTAGTTTTATTGTCTTTTTCCAGTTTATTATACATTTGTTTTATTTATTTTCATTATAGGACCATGACCACTGTTCTGATAACATTGAACGCTTAAAGTGAGTTTTATTGACATTAAATTGGATGTGTTGTCTAGGTTGATCAAGTAAATTATGGTAATGAGCCAGGTGATTAGCTACTAGTACTTTTTTTCTGTTATTTTACATTACATTTTACATTATATTACATTTATATTCATGCATATACAGTTGAAGTCAGTGTGATTTTTTTCCAAACATTTCCCAAGTGCTGTTGAACGTAAATAAGTTTTTAAACACATTTTAAACAATCTTTTAATAGCTATTTACTAATAATTCATTTCTTTTGTCTTTGGCATGTCATGTCTTCTGTCTTTGCAAAACGCAATAAGATCATCAGCATTAAGCAGACTAGCCTGCTGAATTGTATTGAACACTTTGTAAAGCAAAAACTATTCTTGGACACCAAACTCATCCATTTTTTATGAGTTTAAAATGCCTCCTAAAATGGAAAGAAATAGCTATAGAGGTTCTTTTATTTCACAGTTATAAGACTTTTAAATCTGTGAGGTTTTAAAATGTTGTGTGTGTATTGTTACTGGTTTCCTCTGTCTTGTGTGATGTTTATAGATTCTATGCTGCACCAATTGGGCCTATTGAGCTTATGATAATAATCTTGACTTGATTTGGCTAGGTTAGGTTAACTAGGCACGGAAGGTTAATTAGGCAAGTCATTGTAAAACAGTTGTTTGTTTTTGAAATAAATATATATATTATTAATTAATTAATTAATTAATTAATTAATTAATTAATTAATTAATTAATTAATTAATTCATTCATTCATTCATTCATTCATTCATTCATTCATTCATTCATTCATTCATTCATTCGTATGTACATTTGTTCGTTCATTCCAGCCAAACTAAAATAAATACTTTCTCCAGAAAAAAAGTGTAATAGGAAATACTGTGAAAAACCACTGACTATGTTGGCTTAACATGTATTTTTTTTTTAAACCAGGGTCAAAATCACTCTTTAGAGCAACAACCATACAGGCATAGTTATAATGAAATAATATAATAATAATATATAATATAATATAATAAAATATAATATAATAATATAATAAAATAATATAATAAAAATAATAATAATAATAATAATAATAATAATAATAAAAAGCACAAGATATGTATTTAACAATTTCCTGTAGTATTTACACTAGCAGCAGTTTGTCAGTCCCTTTCTATAAATCAGTCACAGCATAAATACTGTATTTAAAGCACCATTTATCTTGCTGTATATGCATTTACAGTATTGTATATATTTTAAATATCCAGTCATTTTCATAATGCACCTTTAAAATACAGTAACATACTGCATAGCTGCCTTATGTCACAGCCATTTCAAATAACAAGACTTGTTACTGATCAAGAGACAAAATCTTCCAAAAAGATTTTATTCTTTGCAAAGAATAGGTCCGACAGTCATACAGGAACACAGGTTGCTGCAGAGTGTGACCCACAGGCTAACCAGACACCAGGTTTTATCTTCTTTCCCCTGCTTCAAGGCCCACTTCATCAGAGTTGACACCCAGTTTTCTTTAGAGCGTTAGATTTTAGAGCCAGGGCTTACACTTATTGAATGCATATGTTTAAAAGGAGATGACCACCTACTGAATGACCCTTCTTGTAGTATTTGCTTTTGTATCATCTTAATTAACGCGTGTTTATATGATGTTTGTAGTTAGAAAGAGTAGTATTATATAAATCAATGTTTTAGTAATAGTAAAAATGGATTTTCCACCACACCTACAGTAACATTCAGTTTGTATCAAAGTTAAATTTTGTTTAATTTACAAAAATTGTTAACAGTGTAAACTGGCTTTATATTTATCTGACACATATTTCTACAGGGTCACAATCCTTACCTCTATCTGTGTTCTTCCTCTACAGCAATATGAAAACTGGAGACCGAACCAGCCGGACAGTTTCTTCTCCTCCGGGGAGGATTGTGTGGTGATGATCTGGCATGAGGACGGCCAGTGGAATGACGTTCCCTGTAACTACCACCTCACTTTCACCTGCAAGAAAGGCACAGGTGAGCTTGCAGCACCTGGAGAAGGGACACTTACAGTAAAGCAAAATATAACTGCATGCATTGTTGAACATTTATTTTCTGTCTAAAATGCATCAATGACATTTGAACAAACGTTTATTTATAATCACATAACAATAGAGATTCTGTGAAGCTTTTAAAAAAATGCTAAGCCTCATAGGTATATCTGTTGTTGTTAATAGACAGTTTCTAAAATGAGCGTAGATGTTTTAGGCGTGTGTGTAAGCAGAGAAAATTGAAAAAGAAAATGTCAGATTACTAACTGTGTTCTGTGTCATTTTTCAATAGTATCCTGCAGTCAGCCTCCTATTGTTCATAATGCCCGCACGTTTGGCCAGCCACGTCCACGCTATGAGATAAACTCCCTGATCAGGTACCAATGTATGGACGGCTTCATCCAGAGACACGTTCCCACCATTCGCTGCAGAGGCGACGGCTTATGGGACTCTCCCAGGATTTCCTGCATGAGCCGTAAGTATTCTGTGAATATCTAACACAAGAGTTTAGTGATGAAATCACACCAACAGAACTTGATTGGTCATTCTGTATAATTATATAAAGCGGCAGGGACACACTTTACAATAAGGTTTCATTAGTGTTAATTTATTTACTAACATGAACTAATAATGAACACATTTACAGCATTTATTTATTTTTTTTTATTATTACAATTTTTTTATTATTATTGTTAACAAGGTGACACAGTGGCGTTGTAGGTAGTGTTGTCACCTCACAGCAAGAAGGTCGCTGGTTCGAGGCTCGGCTGGGTCAGTTGAAGTTTCTGTGTGGAGTTTGCATGTTCTCTCACGTTCACGTGGGTTTCCTCCGGTTGCTCCGGTTTCCCCCACAATCCAAAAACATGCGATACAGGTGAATTGGGTATAGGCTAAATTGTGCGTAGTGCATGAGTGTGAATGAGTGTATATGGATGTTTCCCAGAGATGGGTTGCAGCTGGAAGGACATCCGCTGCGTAAAACATGTGCTGGATAAGTTGGCGGTTCATTCCGCTGTGGCGACCCCAGATTAATAAAGGGACTAAGCCGAAAAGAAAATGAATGAATGAATTATTGTTAACAAATCATGCAAGCTGAAAAAACAATATAATGAAATATATGAATTCAACTACCCCAACCCTCGTCCTCCTGTGGTCTCTTTAGACGGATGTATCCAGTGAATAGAAGTTAACAGAAAAACAAAAACAAAGTACAGTCTTAAGTATCAATTATACAAAACATCCTGATTATTGTTTTGTGCAGCTGAAGTCCAGATCTTTAATGTACTCAATTGTACCAAGTTCACTCGAGCTGTGGATAATTCCAACATTATAATGTCTTGAAGTTGTACCAACCACTTGTACATGTCAAAAGTATGTGGAGGCAGCCAGTGTTGGGCTAGTATTTTTATTTTTATTTTTTATTTTTTATGCAGAAGTCATATCAGCCAGCCAAACAGCTTTTTGTAGCTTGGAAAAATTCAATGTAAAAGCATTGCTCAGTAATAGAATGGAAGGATTCACCGGTACAGGATATTCAATAATTTTAGATAAGATAACACACACCTCAATCCAAAGTTTTTGTACTTTCCCACATGATATGAAAAAAGACCCAAGTTCCTGGTCCGAGTTTACAGCATTTATTAATCATAATTCAGCATTTACTAATGCATTATTAAAATCCAAATTCATGCTTGTTACATTAGTTAATGCACTGTTAAATGAACTAGCAATGAACAACTGTTTTCCATTACCTAACAATAACAAATATGATTATATAATGTAATAAATGTTTTGTGTCTTGATTGTTCATGTTAGCAAATACATTAACTAATACAAACTTATTGTACAGTGTTACCAACTTTTGTAAATGATTATGATTTACAGTATAAATCTATTAAACCACATGTGTTTATTAAACCACATTTACATGAATTACTTTAGCAGATACTTTTATCCAAAGCAATCTACAAATAACTGTTACTCACAAAACACGCATAAAACCACAGCGATACATTCAAATCTGCATTTGAGAGAGCCAGATTATTCATCATTTACATTTGTTTTTATTTTTAACTAGTGTTATTATTTCTGTGTTAACATTCAAATTGTCACATAAGTACTGGAGCAATTTATTGTTGAGACAAACAACTATATAAATGATCAAAATCACCTTTTTTTAAAGCAACTTGATGCTTTTAATGAAGATTGTTGCAATTGCATTATTACACCAATAGTTGATGAGAGCGACCATTGAAAATGTATAATGTAAGTATTTATAACTCTTCATCAAACATGTAAAATGATGTGCCTTTTGTGCACAAAAGACAAAAAAAAAACATCTGATACTGAAATAGCTGGCTAATATAAAGGGCTGGTTTCATGCTGCATGCCAAACTTGCATTTTGTTTTAAAGTTTAGTTTTATCACTAATGTATCAATAAATGCAGGGGAAACTGGACAACAGTGTTTTTTTTTTCTGTTATATAAATATTTTACAGATTGTAAATACTCAATGTAACAACTGCATACAATGTAAAAACTAAACATCATGTAATAAGTACTAAATTATAATTGTATGTAATAATTTTCTCATAATTCTAACAAAATCTTGAGCTCAAAATGTGAAAATATATGTTTAATGTTTAATGTAATAACATTTTTTCCCATAATTTAATGTTAATGGTAAAAAAAAACAAAAAACTAAGTGCACAAATCTAAATAACTATTAATAAAAGAGGACAAAATCTTGAGAACTATTAAATTAAATTTATTTATTTATTTATTTATTTATTTATTTATTTATTTATTTATTTATTTGACAGAGGCTTATTTGAATTTAAATAAGATGAATTACCTTTCTGTTACTAAAGATGTTAGTGACTTATTTTAATGAATATAAATCGTCACCTTGGAATTATAAGGTTTTATCTGCATTCTGAATGATTTTGAGATATTGAGCATCAAAGTTTTTGCATTTTATAGCAAACAGTAGGTGCGTAACATTTTTTTTTTTTTTAAATAAAAAGTCTTAAAGTGGAAACCACTTATAGAAAAACATCCCATTGTGTAAATAAGTTGTCATTTAATAAGAATATGTCAATAACTAAACAAAATAAAATTTTGACAAAAATGTCAGATAGAACATTTAAATTGTAATGTGACGAACTGTTTAAACTTTACAATTTAAGTGGCTTTGTATAAATGCATATATTTTGAATTCTTTATTCTTTTTTAATATTTCCCAAATTATGTTTAACAGAGCAAGGGAATTTGCACAGTATGTCTGATAATTCTGATAATAAAGTCTTATTTGTTTTATTTCAGCTAGAAATAAATCAGTTTTTTATTTTTATTAAAGCTATATATTTTTTCAGCGTTTACAGAACAAACCATCATAGTAAAGCACCCTATCCTGCCTAGTTAACCTAATTAACCTAGTTAAGCCTTTAAATGTCACTTTAAACTGCATAAGTGTTTTGAAAAATATCTAGTAAAATATTATTTACTGTCATTATGATAATGTTAAAATAAACCAGTTAATAGAAATGAGTAATTGAAACTGTTATGTTTAGAAATGTGTTATAAAAATCAGGTGGGCTAATAATTCATGGAGGCTAATAATTCTGACTTTAACTGTATATATATATATATATATATATATATATATATATATATATATATATATATATATATATATATATATATATATATATATATATATATATATATACATACATACAGCACACACATACACCACACACACACAGTATAATAACACCAGGAAATGCAAACACAGTTCTTTACCAAGTTCTTTACAGTGCTTACCAAAATTGCATTTTAATCAAAAATACAGAGAAAAATTCAGTTTAAAATAATAATTTTGCATTTTCGTGGATTTTTTTGTCATACAAATAGCACAAGTTGCTGGTTCTATACATATACGTATAGCTATGTATGCATGTATATGATTATATAATGCATTTTAACAGATTTAAAAAGGCATCATTCTAATTGAATTATTTTATATTTCCATTCCAGCATCCAACTACCAAAGGTCGTATACAAGAAGACTTCAGAGATACAGCGTTTACCGCAATAATCGAAAGAGATCAGCAGAACATTCAGTGGATGTACACAGACGAAGACACCACCACCACCACCACCACCATGGTGGTAAACACATTCGGACAAAACAATAGTTGCCTTGATAAAACAACCCAAATGCAAGGACCCATTTAATGTATATTGATAGTGGCCTGCATATGACGGACCTGCCTGCTGGGCAAAAAAAAAAAGATTACTAAAGAAAAAAATATGAAAAGGACCATAACAAGGTTAAAGCAAAATATCACTGGAATTTCTTTCAGTGTTTGAATCTTTTACCAGAGATGCCTTTTAGAAACTACAGTACATCAAAAGACACACATTCAGCTGGCCTCTGAAAAGAAAACACACAAACAAAATTATTTAACCTGTCTTCCATCAGCTCCGGGTTTACTTGGAAATACACAGTGCCTTCATGAATTTAAAGGCCAGCATACCATTCATAGCATTATAGCTTATAAACATAATAATACATTTTGATGCACACTTGATGTATGATTACTTTGTCTTTACTAGAATCACAGGTGTTTGCAGATATCCTGCTGCTTACTGAACAATTGAGAAATCATACATATGAATGTGAAAGAATATATATATTTATATAGACAGAGTGAGCAATGGCTCATGTGAGTCATGTGATTGTCGCAAAAAACAAAAAGGCATAGGTATCATTAAAAAAACTGTATTCAATACAGTGAATGTTTTGATATCGTAAAGTTATCACATTACATTTTAATACTCTGACTTTAAAGTATTGAAAAGCCATGTAGATTTTAGATTATTTATATTCCTCATTTTGATGTCTCTTTCAAATGTTTACAGTGCAAATTCTATTTCACATGCATTAATTCCTTTACATCTGTAAACCAAGAAACTTACTGTATGTACTCTACGTCATTTCTTTTTGACAATTTAAAATATCTTTAAAGAGAATGTACTTCGTGAGATGCTGAAAAGACTTGAACGAATGTCTTTGTAACAAGATGCCTATAATTTATTTCTTGAGCTGCTCCTTGTTTTCTTAATGTTGTAGTAAAATATAACATACCGATGATTTAACTTGGCCAAATTGCGCATTGACAGAATTCAATAGATTAAATGACATGGTCAATAGCTGGCATTAATGTGACTAATATTTGCAACTCACAGAATTTAAATGCATTATGACATTTGGGGTGTATCAATGGACCAAAAAAAAGGATTCATAACAGCTTTGACAGCAGTGTGTTGTTGGTCATCCATTTGTTTATTCCCAAGCATTTGTTTTTCTTTGAGATCTTTTCTTTTGTGTTTACTTTTTGTTTGTTTTGAAAATGCACATATCTTTTTTATATTTATATTACTTGTCAAAAGATTGTCTGGAATGTTTTATGCCTTTTATGTAAACAAAGTTTATTATATTCTACCTGAATTCTTGGTGTTTTTTTTTGTTCTGATATTCATGCATTCATTTTCCTTCTGCTTTTTATTCATCAGGGGTTGCCACAGCGGAATGAACCATCAACTTATTTAGCTTATGTTTCACACAGCGGATGCCCTTCCAGCTACCACCCAGTACTGGGAAACATCCATACACTTATTTAAACACATACAGTACATTACGCCCAATTTAGTTCATTCAATTTACCTATAGCGCATGTCTTTGGACAACAATGTGAACACAGGGAGAACATGCAAACTCCACACAAAAATGTCAACTGGCCCAGCCGGAACTCAAACCAGCAACCTTTTTGCTATGAGGCAACAATGATAACCACTGAGTCACCGTGTCGCCTTTGTTCTGATATGTTTAGCTTAAAGATATAGTTCACCCAAAATGAAAATGTGCTTCCTATTTAATCACCCTCAAGTTTTTATGAACCTTTATGAGTATTCTGTTGTATACAAGCAAAGATATTTTGAAAAAAAAACTGTATATTGACATCCATAGTAGGGAAAAATACTATGGAAGTCAGTGGTTACAGGCTTCCATCTTTCTTCAAAATGCCTTGAACAAGTGAAGTATGAGTAAATCATGACATAATATACATTTGTTTGGGTGTCTATTTCCAGAATTGTCATGGTTAATATAAACTTTGCCTAATATATGTTATTTATGACGTTATTTTTTTTAAGAGGACAAATTTCATATATAAAGTCAAACTACATCGTTATGTTATACAATACACTGGGACGAGTGAAGACCACGTTTTATTGATTTTTTTTTTTTTAGCATAGCCTGGTGTTGTTCATCAGCAGTGTCACTTGTTGACCACCAGATGGTGTCAGTTGAGTTCACTAACGGGGATATTTAAACGCTGGTTAAAACTACTTGAATAGAAGCTGAATTTTAACGAAACCGTGATACCGTGCCAAATGAGAGAAAAAATAGGGCGTAAATTATCCCGCAAAATGCCAGAAAACATGTTTTCTTTGTAACAGAAAAGCTAAGAGACAGAATCAAACCGCGAGGGAGTCTTTGAGGTTTGTTCTCTGCTGTTTTTATGGTTTCATTGGTCAAAATAACTTATGTGGTCCTGTGACAGTAACCTCGGATGTGTTGCGATTTGCATATCTGTGAAAATAGACATTTGCTGTAGAGACAGATACACATATTTAGTATTTTTTTATTTAGCCTAGTAATTAAAATGTACAATGCTAAAATATATTGGTTAAATGTACTTGGTTAGCTAGTCAGTGTAAATGTTTGCCTGTACAACAATTTTAAAAACCCAGGGGATAATATCAATCAAGGAAAAAGACAAAAACATGTAAATGTTTGCATGCATTAATACAATTAACAGCTTTCTTATTTGTCTGACTATAGATTACAGCTTAAACCCTGATTTCAAAATAATAAATAATGGCTTGCAATCACTGTACTTGCTTTTGTGTTTGCTGAATTTTGCCAACAAAAGTAATAAATTGGTCAAAAAGTACCAAATAAAATTTTGTAAAAAACATAGAAAACTTGGCATAAAGTTGATTCTAATAAAAGAGCAGAAGTCAAACCAAAAAGTATCTACAAATGGGCAACTACAAAAAAAAAAAAAAAAAAAAAAAAAAGTAATATGTTTCTGTATGTAGACCAAAACTACAGCATGCACTGTATCAATTTCACAATTAAACCTGCTTGCAAGAAAATAATCACTGGCATAATATTTGGAAATAGGTTTGAAATAAATTTCTTTTACTTTATTTGTTATTAAGTATTTATGATTTATGTTTTGGGTCATAGCAAATCATTAACATAGCTATTCTTGAAAGTCATAACATGAGGTCATTTTTAAGGTAATTGTTCAGCCCCAAAGACAAAAATGATGTCATCATTTGCTCATAGTTCAGTTGTCACAATCCTGTGCAAAATAAAAGGTATTGTGAAGAAAGCTAAAATAATAATAATAGTAATAATAATAACAATAATACAGCGGCACTGTGGCACAGCAGGTAGTGCTGTCACCTCACTCCAAGAAGGTTGCTGGTTTGAGCCTCGGGAGTTTGCATGTTCTCTCTGCGTTTCCTCCGGGTGCTTTGGTTTCCCCCACAGTCCAAAGGCATGCGGGACAGGTGAATTGGGTAGGCTAAATTGTCTGTAGTGAATGAGAGTGTGTGGATGTTTCCCAAAGATGGGTTGCAGCTGGAAAGGCATCTGCTGCGTAAAACATATGCTGGATAAATTATCGGTTCATTTTGCTGTGGTGACCCCAGTTTAATAAAGGGACTGAGCCAAAAAGAAAATGAATGAATAAATGAACAATAATAATATTAATAATGCAATGATTGACTTGCATAGTATTTGTTTTTTCTACTAGTCAATGGTGCGTTTTCAGCAGAGAAAAGAAAAATATATATTTACAGGTTTGGAATGAGTGAGTATAATTTCTTTCATTCTTTTTTTAATGCTTTCATGCTTCCACAAAATGACCCCAAGATTGGTTGCAAAACAATCTCAAAAGAAATAAATAAATAAATAAATAAAAAGGGGAAAAAGGTTTTTTTTTTTCTGAGAAAAATGAACATTCAATTCAATTTTGGCAGATGCATTTTGTTTTGAAGGTTTGTTCTTTGTTAATGGCATTCAGACATTCTGCTCAATGTACAACAGGGGATCTCTTACATAAATTTGATTGTTTTGTGTGTAACAATGTTGTAGGAAGCAGTCAGACTTTTGTGTTTTAAGTCCCATTGCTATATTTTAATTTTGTAATGTATTTCCCAGCTGGTCACTGACTGTCATAGTTTTTTTTTCATATGTATGAGCTGGAAAACACTGCCCCCCCCTCCAACTACATTGGTCTTTTATTTATTTATTTTAAACAACTGGAATTAATTTGCATGTTTAAAAAGGAATTAGTCACAGAATATTGAATAATCATTGCAAGATTTCTCTGCAAATGTTTTCCAGACCTCTAGGGTTCTCTTCGATCTAATGTTTACATATAACAGCTTTGAATATATGGAATTAAAATATGACTTTTACTGCTTTTGCTCTTTCTCATGGAAACTTTATATCTCTGTGCATTATTCATTTTCATGTAGAGTAGAAAATATTAGCAAGAACTTCTTGCTTGAACATGGCAAGAACTTTTTTTGTTTCCCAAAGCAGAGTGGAGTATCACACTGTGATTAACTTCTCTAAATTATTGAAATGGTTTGTGTAGGGACCCTGAAGCCAACTGGCATTCATACTGCAACAAACATTGTGTATTCAGCATCTGGACTTTCAAAATACACATTTACTGGCACTGCACAATTACATCCACAGTTTGGTGGAGAATGAAGAATAGAAAACATTTCACTTTTTATGGGTTTTTATTTTTTCATTTAAAATCTGATTTCATTCCTTAACCAACACTGCATTCAGATAAAAAAAAAGAATGATATTTTGTGCATTTAAAAAAAAAAGACAAAATCAAGCGAAAAAATGTCACATATGTGCACTGTGGCTTCTGCAGTTCAAAGCTGAATTACAGGAAGAGAATATTTTACCCTCCCATAAACAAACAACATATATCAATACAAAGTGGCAAGTAATCGATGGTATACGTTCATCAGTAAACACAGATCTCATTATCTGAAATCGTCCACACTGTGCCTGTCAAGAATCCAACTAAGGCATGATGTTGTACATGGCTTTTAATGCTGCTCACTCTTTTTCTCACTGGCATGACAATATCATTCAATTCAGACTTATTCCTCTCTACATTTAAGCATCTATAAGGCTCAAGCTGCTCTTGAAATGTTGTGAATATACAATTGGATGCTAAAAGATTTGCTTGGTGTACATTTAGTTTTCTGGCATATCACAAATAACACAGCGGTCGGTCAAATTCTGTTAAGGTCTGTAATGGAATACTTGTTATTCTATGCTGAATCAAACACATATGAAGGGGTTCTTCATTTAAGGACAAGAAACAGATTCAGTTAAAGCATGTGACAGTTGAGAAAATACATCATAATAATGTAAAGAGTAGCCACGGGAAATGAACACTGAAATGAAATTAGATATGCATATTGCTAATATAATAAAGTCCAAAAAACATTCATTTGATTTCTCAAACAGATAAAAAGTCACAGTTTAGAGCATTAGATAATACAACATTATAAGAGATTTTTAAAGGAGATTTAAAGTAAGAAAAAAAGGATATTAGCATTTCACAAAGGTGTTTCAGGGAAAGAAAGATGTCAGGTCCATTTTTTGCTTTTCTGTTTGGGCAAGTTTCAAAAACTTTCTGTCAAGTTTATACCATTAGGATTACTTAAATACTTTATTTCAATGCAACAATTGCGATTTTTCACAAACTCACATTTAAATGTACTACAAGGAATTGCTATCAAAATGGTGAGATTTCAGATACTCTTCCAGCTGAATATCTTTTCAGGAAAATGTGGTGTTTTTCTGCTGTTGCTTTGTTTTTTTTATACATGAGGTGTACAAACCTATATAACATGTAAATGATATAAAATAACTGTTGACATTAATATTACGAATGTTGTGGTATGGTGTTTACAAGGGGTGCCCGTGCCTTTCCTGGAGGGTCAATGTCCTGCAATATTTAGCTCCATCTATTATTAAAACAAGATCTTCAGACTCACAATAGGCTTAATCTCAAACTGAACCCAGAACTATCATGGTCTTCCTCTAAGTGCAGTTTTGCGGCATAATATCACTTTGAATGTCAGGTAGAGGCTTACCACAGGCTTGAAGCTCACCAAAGTGTGTTCTCGGCATAACTATGCATAGAGACTGCAAAGTGGGAGCTAGTCGATTATCTTCCTGAATGCTAAACTTATGAATGTGACAACCTACACCAAAGGAGGGCAAGTTCATACCTGGAGAGCCACAGTTGTGCAGTGCTTTTAACCAACCTGGATAAATACTCACCAGCCTGTAGCTTTCAAGTAGCCCTTAAATCATAGATGGGGAACTTCAGTCTTAGAGGGCCACTGTGCTGCAGAGTTTAGCTCCAAAATCTAATCAAACACACATGCCTGTAGCTTTTAATGATATTGGAGTATGTGTATTCGCTTGTTCGGGTGTGTTTGATTAGTGTTGAAGCAAAACTCTGCAGTACAGTGGGTCTTTAGGACCAAAACTGCCCATCCCTGCCTAAGACCTTGATTAGCTTGTTCTGGTGATGGACCAGCCTAATATCACGAGGAAATGTAAGTATTTTACGTTTTGTCAATTTAGTGGCTGATTCAGTCGTACAGAAATGCACGATTATAAAAAGGAGATGTGGCACCCAACCCCACCCCTGAACTCAACCATCATTAGGGGATGAGAAAATCGCACAAAACTGTACAAATGAGATCTTACAAGTACATGCAAATTCTCCACTAAATCAAAAAGTTACAAATTGCCATGAAATTGTGTTGGCAGGATTGTAGTGATGGGAGAATTTTTCAAAGCTTCAAAACAATTAAACCCCATAGCAAAATTTCTTTGGCCTAGATCTGGCCCACAGTATCAGCATTTGCTTGGCCCACATGCCGCAGTTAATTATAGCACATGAATGGACCAAGCCTGGCTTCCATACAGGCAAACTTGGATCATATCTGGGCCAAGTCTCAGCCAAGTTCATAACTCATAACTAGGCCTGAACTGGGATATGTATGTGTGTCACGACTGCAATGTTTTTTTATAAACCCTTGAAGCAGTTCGCTTTTTGGGTGTGGTTTTTCTTGAAGCGACCTGATTGATTGATTTTTTTTTGTACTCAAAAATAAATTAAATGTATTTTAAAAGTGGGTCAAGATAGGCCAAACTTATGTGGCCCACACATACATTTTTAACATCTGGGCCAAATACTACATTTGATATCTGGCCCAATCTTAAGTGCCGCCTGTAAGACTCAGCCATCTCAGCTTGGCCATGTTTGGCCCAAATGCTGCATGCCAGTGCCAGACGAATGCCTGCTGTGCCAGCTTTAGGCCATATCTGGGCCAGAATTCTTTGCTACCTGGGAACCAATTGCTCCATTAAATGATTCACTCTTCCTAAGTGTTCAAAACATCACATGCTAAGGAAATCTGGTAGTCAAATATGTGAGAAGTCAAAATATGCATTAGAATTTCCTTTTTTAAACATATTCCGAACTTTAAATTGAATGTGTAACCTATAAATGGACATAGCTTATCATGTAGTATCATTAAATATTAATGGGCTCAAGACAAGAGGACAAAAGACAATTAACTTTTCTCATTAAAACATCAACAAACTTGTAAAACTGATCCAAGATCAGGTATAAACTATGAAACCTGTTCAGCGTTTCACCACTGAGGGGCTATCTGAATGAAGCTGCATCATTCATGTGGATTATAGGATATTACACAGATCGCTGCCAAGCGGAGAACCATTGCATTTTCAAAACATAACGTTATGACATAATGAGGCCTCATTTACTGAAATCATATGACCTTGCTTCGTACCGTCGCAAGCTTAACTGGTGCTCTAGGCAAACGACAATCATGCCACCCTCATGGTGTTAATGCCGCCCTTTCGCAGATGAAAGTAAAGAGCAGGAGGATGGGGGTGGTGGTGGATGAAAGTACAGAGGGGAGGGGTGTTGTGTTGTGTTGCCCATATTGCTCATGCCTAAATCCACTGCAGACCTTGCCCATTTAAAATGCACTCTGAAACATTGATGAATCTTTTGTTTCGAATCAGTGATTCAAAGCTTCATGAAGCCGTGATTGGAAAGCATCACTACAGCACTGTGGATTATCAGGACTGAACTTGTCCACACCAGTACTACACTCTCATGCACTTAACAGACATGTACACCAGACAGGCATTGTATATCCGCAAGTGCACAAGTGTATCATTTGATATTAGGCCCTATAAACTTCTAGACAAGTTGGTAAGAGCTAAAACCTGTAGGACGTTGGCACTCTGGAAGCAGGACTGGACACCCCTGTTCTGTACAGTATCCTTACTATAATGGTTGTCACAGTTAGGCTAGTTCATGCAAAAAGTCCTTCATAAGTTTGGAGTGGCAACTGCTGTATTGCTTCTCTTTGGTTGGTGATGTGATGTGAATTGCTTTACTGCTGGGCTTTGTAGCAATAGACACCGTACAGCTTCTGCTTTTTGTCAGGGAAGCCAACAAAGCGAACAGCAGCCTCCGTGGGACTGCAGTTCTTCCTGGGCCTGGAGATCGGGTAACGTACGCTACCGTCAGCAAGCCAACCAGCATCACATCGGTCATATCCCTGCAGTTTCCAGGCAGCAAACATATGGCCGACCTTTGCGATCTCAGCTCCATCTCCCTTGCATGCATCGACGGCCTCATCAAAGTTCAGCTTCTTGGGCTGGATCATGTAGTAGAAGCGCCCTGAGGTGTAAATAAAGTGGTTTCAGGTTTGTGGACACAAACAGTACTACTTTAATTACTAAGGGTGAACTGTTCAACTTACCTTTAAGACCAGCAGTGAAGCAGAACACATCATAGCGGCTGTTGGACTTGTCCCGTTGGCCATAATTTCTCAGTCCAGCTGTAGCCCTTGCACCTCCACAGGGCTCTCTGGGTTTGGTGATGGGATACTGCACAGTTCCGTCACTAAGCCAGCCGGCATTGCACCAATCCAGCCCACTTTTCCATTCCCCATAAAGCTGCTCGAAGGAGGCGACCACTGCATCCTGCTCCTGACATGCGGCCACGGCATTTTGGAAGTTAAGGTTGTACCGCCCCAAACGAGGGGAGTATGGGAAAACAACCCCTGTGAAAGAAAGTGAATCTTTCCCTAAGGAAAAGTTTGGCTGATTTTAACATCAGGTTGATTTTATTACCACCCCTATGAACAAATAAGAGCATAATAGAGCTTTTAGAAAGCTTCCATGCTCAGTATAGATTAAAGTTTTTTATGGTACAGTGTTTAAAAACAATTGTATTTTAAAAAGAGAAAATTACTTGCAGGGCTTTAACTTTTAAGCCATTTTTCCAAAGTTAATAATGGTTAAATAGTTGTGCCAGCCTAATTAATTATGTTTTTCTCATGTTTCACTGTAAAGATCCCCACTGATTCTTCAGACGATCTGCAATTCTGGTTGCTTAAGAAAGCATCAATGCATTTCAAGTTCTAATGTCAGTTGAGATCTCAAATACAACAAAGGGATTGTTTGCCCTTTACTCACCCTTCATTTGATATAAACTTGCTTGGGTTCCTTTTTTCTACTGACCATAAACTTAAAGAACTTTTAAGAGCACTTAAAGAATGCTGGAAACATGTAACCTTTGACTTCCATAGTATTTTTTTCTTAAAATGGAAGCCAATGGTTACAGATTTTCAGCTTTCTTAAAAAATCTCATAAAATAAAACTCTAATTAGTTTGAATTCACTTGATGGTGAGTAAATAATGAGCACATTTTAATTTTTGGGTCAACAATCCCTTACAGCAAAATCATATGTGTAAAAATGACTCAGTTTAGATAGTATTTGGTCCCTCTCTAAACTGAATTAAAGTTACTTAAGTTAATGAAATAATGAAAGCGTAAATTAGGTGATGATTGAGCATTGATGATGAACATCTTCTGGTAATAAACAGAAACACAGAAGAGAAACACAAAACTACAACTGACTTCAGTCACAGCCTCAGATTAAATCAGATAAAATATAATACATTGAATCTCTCAAAATCTTAGCAGAGGATCATTAAGCAACTCGACAAACTTCGGCTTTACCATAACCAACCTGTTTGCCCTTATTTAACGAGGGACCAAATACTCTCTAAAATGAGTAAATTTTACTCTGAGGATACTGTAAATGCTTTATAAACATGTAGAAACTTAAAGTTGTAGTGGAGAGAAAGAAACCTCTTAAATTTAATAAAAGAAAAATTCAATTGTGTTCCATAGATATAAAATCTTATAGGTTTTGAATGTGATGGGTGGTAATAAATGACATAATTTTTATTTTAGCATGAATTTACCCTTTAACAACTGCAGTTAATTCAATACTTGCCTTTCACAAGCTCAAAGTTTCTGTGCAATGTTGTACTGTTTTTAATATATAGTCAGTTCAAACATGCCATTAAACACATATGACATGTGGCAAAGGTCTACTATTATATGATCATTCATTTGAATGTAGAAGACCCATTACATGTAAGTGCTACAGTTAAAAAAAAAAACTTACATGATATCATGAAATAATAATTAAAATAATTACCTTGCACTTCAAGATCCACCTCAAGAGTCATGTCATTCATCCCATCGATGAACTCACACCGGTATGTGCCATAGTCGTTCACATCTAGGTCTGTAATAACCAGTGTTGCATCACTGTCATCCACCTCCAACAGGTAAGCGCGGTCTTGATAACTTCCGTAGGCCTTCTTGTGGAAACCCATGGAGATGAGCACGTCAGTTTCTGTTGAGTCATCTTCAATTTTGGTCCACTTGATTCTGTTCCCGAATAAAGTGGATTGACCATCCAGTCTGCAGGGTAGAGTTATATTGTCACCTCTGTTGGCGTAGACCTTGACCCTTGATTCACTATCTGAAATCAAACAATTAGACAGTTCTTTCAAAGTGTATTGAATCCTCATTGTAGGTGTAGATTATTTACTGTATGTTTACTATGACAGAAAACAAGAGTTTGGTGATTTCTTTGGTTAGATTTTATGGCTGTCCATAAAATTTATCTTAAGGTTTGAATAAGCCTGCAATCATTACTCAACTGAAAGGAAATAGTAAGTGCTAATCAATAAATAATCCAATTATGATTTACTGGAATCAGATGGCACACACACACACACACACTGAGGAACCACAGCCATCATTCTGCCATTTTGTGTCAATGAAGGCAAATGTTCTCCCTGTAATGCTCAACTTCGCAGATGCAGGGTCTACAGTATATGTCTGGTAGTAGTTGATACAGTCTGCTTGTTGTTAGAGGTATAATTGTCTTGTATTGCTCCTCAAGATGTTTCCTGATCTCTGCTCGAGTCTTGGAGGCTCCAATCCATCACAGCTCTTTGATGTAACGTTTGACGGATATCAAGAAAACTAAAACAGACCCAAGAGTTATCCTAGCTGGCTGTACTCAACTTTCAAAGTGTCAATTACATAGAAGACTTTTTAGATTAGATTTAGCTTAAGGCACCATTCTGTCTCTCTTGGGTTATAATGTCTACAATGCAAACCAGTCTACTGTATGTTGACTGACCTGAAAATCTATGGCCCTACAATAAGAAGCATGTCATATGACCTAATATTTAGAGTGGCATTTAATATGAATTGAAAACCAACTGTATCACCTGAAAATATTGGGGGGGGGGGGGGGGCATTCGCTGTGTAAAACATTTGCAGGATAAGTTGGTGGTTCATTCTGCTGTGGCGAACCCTGATGAATAAGGGAATAAGCTGAAGAAAAATTAATAAATGAATGAATAATCTTAAGGGAATGATTCAGCCGAAATCGATCCCACATTATGCCATATAAAGTATCCCTCTGTGTATATGACTTTCTCCTTTCAGTCAAACACAGATGGAGTAGTTTTAAATTAAATTCTCTCTCTTCAATACTTTAAAATGGTGTTGGGTAGTGGAACAATGTGGCATTGGAAGAGTATTATTCTGTATAACAGCAAAATTTCTAGACATAGGTGAACACGGTGGTCAATGAGAATATTTTTGTAACAAAAACATATCTATCTATTTCATAAAACCATACGCCATAAGAGGGTTTATGCATGTCTTGTTATACAGAAGCTTAAAGTAGAAGTGAAGCACTCAGTCAAGTTTACATTATTTTGTAAATGATTTCCGTTTTAATGAAAACTTATTAAACAAGCTCAATTAATGTAACCATTTTGGAGAATACGGCATGTTTTACTAAAGCTTTTAGAGCTACAGCACCGCCATCTTGGAATGTCTCTGTGTTTGACATCACAGGGTTGGTTTCGTTCCCTCAGCTGAACCAATAAGATGGAAGCTACATCTGAACACGGAGACTAGACTGCCTAATTTAACACAATGTGTGAAGTTGTGGGTTTGGAGCTGGTGCAAATACAAGCATCAGATTTGTGTCTAGTATAAACATATATTCTATTTTTCTTTTTCCCCATTTTAATTACCGAATGTTTGATGTGCTTTAGTCCACTCACTGTATTACGCTGCCTGACTGGGTTTCATCCATGGTTTCAACAAGGTCCGGTGGTGACATAATTGGGTGGGTACTTTCACTTTTTACTACTACAGCTGCTCTTTTCTTGTTCAAACCAAACTAAGATCGGTGCAGTTTTTCCACGTGGCAGGTTTTCACATCCTTCATACATGTTTAGAGAGATTGAGTTGATCGACATGAAAGGGAATATGTCATGTGCTTTAATCATTGCATTAGTCTGAAAATAAATCCCCTTATTAGGCAGTGCTGCACCAGCATGAGAGAGTGGACCAAAGTGCATCAAACGAACAGTATTAAAAAACGAAAAATAGAAAACATAAAAATAGTTTTTGTGCACAGTACAGTGAAATCAGAATTATTAACCCCCCTTTGAATTATTATTTTTTTCTTTTTTTATATTTCCCAATCTATGTTTAACAGAGCAAGGAAATGTTCACAGTATGTCTGATAATATTTTTCTTTTGGAGAAAGTCTTATTAGTTTTATTTCGATAGAATAAAACCAGATCTAAATTTTTTAAAACCCATTTTAAGGTCAAAATTTTTAGCCCCTTTGAGCTATATATTTTTTTGATACCATCATCACACAATAGCTTGCCTAATTACTTTAACCTGCCTAGTTAACCTAATTAACCCAGTTAAGTCTTTAAATGTCACTTTAAGCTGTATAGAAGTGTCTTGAAAAAAATCTAGTAAAATAATATTTACTGTCATCATGGCAAAGATAAAATAAATCAGTTATTAGAAATGAGTTAAATTTAAAATTAAAACTATTATGTTTAAAAATGAGTTGAAAAAAACATCTCCTTTAAACAGAAATGGGAGAAAAAAATAAACGGGGCTAATAATTCAGGGGGTTTAATAATTCTGACTTCAACTGTATATTAAACACAAATTTGATGCTTGTATTTGCACCAGCTGTGTGATCCAAGCCCACAACTCCAGGCATTGTGTTAAGTTAGACTGTCCAGTCTCAATGTTCAGTCCGTTACTTCCACTGTATCTGTTCAGTTGATGGAACAAAACCAACCCTGTTATGTCAGACACAGCGACGTTCCAAGATGGTGGAGCCCTAAGTCTAAAAGCTACAGTAAAACACGCCATTTTCTCCAAAATGAAAACATTAATCAAGTTTGTTTAATATTTGTGGAAATCAATTTACAAAATAATGTAAACTTGACTGAATGCTTCACTTCCACTTTAAAAAAGGCCCCCCACAATGCCATTATATAGCATAGAAGAGTCAGGATAAATTGCAAAACTACTTCAACTGTGTTTGTCTAAAAGATGGAATTAATATACACAAAGAAGGGATTGATGATAAGTAATTACGGGGTAATTTTCTTTTTGGGTGAACTATTCCTTTAAATAACAATTAGCAATATAAATGATGAACTGTAAAAAAATAATAATAAAAAAACAGTCAACAAATTGAGTGTAGTTCACTCAAAATTTACTAAAGGTTAATTCTGCTCATTTGAGACGAGTTTTGAAGTTACTGTTGAAGGTGATGAGGTAATTTAACCAACTAAAATGGAGTAAGTTGACAGTACTTGATTAGTTTTTTTTTTCTTTTTTTTTTTTACTCAAATGGTTTGTAGCAATCGGTTTCCTTATATGGTTTGAGTTACCTTAACTTATTGGGTTTTACAGTACTCAGTTCATTTGAATTTTCTTCATTTATTGGGTTTTACTGTGCTCAAATGACTTCATTTACTCAAATGGTGAAGTTCACAGTACTCATTAGGATTAGTTTTTGAACTTAAATGGTTTGTTGCAATCGGTTTGTTCAAATGGTTTGAGTTACCTTAACTTTTTGGGTTTTACAGTGCATTTCTTTAGCTCCATTCTGTTATATAGTTAATCAAATGCTGTATTTGTTTATGATGGAATGACTGTTAACAAAGATTAATATATGATTTAGAAGTATTTTAACATGTCAAGTAATGTAAATCAGCTACTTCTAATTGTAATAAAATCTCACAATATAAACATTTTACTGTATTTTCTTTAAGTAAAAAGCTGCCTTAGTGAATATAAAAGAAAGAAAGCTTTTGATTGTTTGATAATTTTTGGCTTGACTTCCCCAGAGAAGTTCTTAATGGCAGCTCCAGGCATTGTGCTTCTGACCAGCATGTTTTACAACTAACCTTTAAACTCAGATGCAGTGTATCCAGGAAAACCTTTCCCACATGCTTGAAACAAATATGGGACTCATTAGCAGGCACTCAAGACTTTCTGCCTTCTGCTTCAAACCATTTACTTTACCTTAGCCTACTATTATAGCTCTCACCCAACTGAGCTGGAGCCTTCCAAACTATTGTAACATGTGCCCAACCGGTGCTCAAAATGAATGCACATGTGCTGAACATCTGAGCACTTCACTGATCAGAAGCCTGTACTGTACTGTTTCCCCCCTTTAATTATACAGCATAATAATGAGAGATGATGAGAGATCTTCTTCTTTCTAGAACTTATTGAAACTGATCCCTACAGTCTTTACACTCATTAACGCCACACTTCTGATCCTTTTTTACACTTCATTGTGAGTCATGCAATCTCTCTAACACTTTCCTCCTAATAAACTATCACTTAGAAGACAGTGTGCCAAAGTTACAAGCTGGAAGGATCAGATGATTAATCTCTCATTAAATCATTAAGCACAACCTTCAATACTGCAGCTACCAATTTAGAAAAGTCATCCTTTATATTAAAGCTTTTTGGATTTTGACTTTCACATGTACAAGCTTTGTTGCATTTGATTAGATTAGATTAGATTCAACTTTATTGTCCTTACACATGTAGTGTAGTGTACAAAGCAATGAAATGCAGTTTAGGTCTAACCAGGAGTGCAATCAGTACAGGATATACAGTTGAAATCAGAATTATTAAACCCTCTTTGAATTTTTTTTTCTTGTTTAAATATTTCTTAAATGATGTTTAACAGAGCAAGGAAATTTTCACAGTATGTCTGATAATATTTTTTCTTCTGGAGAAAGTCTTCTTTGTTTTATTTTGGCTAAGATAAAAGCAGTTTTTATTTTTTTTAAACCATTTTAAGGTCAAAATTATCAGCCCCTTTCCGCTCTGGCGTTTGTAATTTGTCATGTGCATTACTTGTGTAAATGTGTTTAAATTTAAATTTATTCAGTTTTTAAATTTATTTCAGTAAAATTATTTACCAATATGAAAGTGTTCATTTAATTTACGTACAATACAATTTGTAAAGTAATATTTTCTGTCTTTTAGTAGATATATTATATGATAGACTTGCTTTGTTTGCCAAATAAGTGGATCTAGATGGATTTGCATTGTAAACATTAAATAATAGTCAAAACAAATAAATTTTTTTTATTAAGTTACGATACTCCTAAAATTATTCTGCATAAATCCACAGATTTTTTTTTTTTTTTTACAATATTCTCTGCAGAAATACCAAAAGATTGTCTGCAAGTTCTGCCTGGCCCTAGTTATGAGGAGAGTGTGGGGATTGTGATTGCATACAAGCCACCAAATATCATTCCAATTCCACTAAGCCATGATATTCTCTGTGTACCCAACTCCCACCAGTCCCTTTATGACATCCCATCCCCCATCTCCAGCCATTCTTTATTCCTGCTCTTATAAGCAAACAGAAAGAAAAGTGTTTACTCTTGAACGGCGGTGTGGAAGTGCTGTGGTGGCTAAAATATTTAAAACAGCCTCTTTCCCACCCACCAAGACATTTGGCAGAAGAAAGATAATGAAACATAAATGCTTTCAGGGAAAACAAAACAAAAGCTGCATTTAGAGCATACCATGACTACTGGAGTCAGGATAATTTAGTAAGAATATAGATTATAATACTTTTTAAATGAAGTAATAAAAATAGCTAAAATAAATACCAAGTCATGATCTGGTAGTAATGATTCTTTGGGATCATGTAACAGTGAAGTAATTTTGACAACAATTAAAAGGAATAAATTATCAATAAATAATCCACAATGTTAATGTTTTTTTCTTAAATGCAGTGTCAGCAAAAATAAAAAAAAAGCTTTTCCAAAAACATAAAAAGTCTTACTTTCTCCAATGGATATTATTATAACCAGTGTTGTGCAATAGCACGTTACTAGTAAGCATTACTGTAACGCCATTACTTTTGATAGTAACTAATACTGTCACACATTACTTTTTAAACATATCAACTCCTTTATCATTACAATATGACGCGTTTGTCTGGTTCTTGGTAATTTAATTAATTTTGACTGCAGTCTAGCCCACATCTTCCTGATTACAACGCCAAGGAATTGTGGGATTGGTGGATGCCAACCAACCACCATAAAGAAGACTTGTGTGTGCGAGAGAGACCAAGTGCTCAAGAGAGAGACCAGGTGTGTGCAAGAGAGGCCAAGTGTGCGCGCAAGACAGACCGAATGCGCGCAAGGTAGGCCGATTGTGTGCACAAGACCGAGAGACTATTACCGTTACTATTATAAACTACTACTACTAATGCTACTATGTTTGTTGTTTCAAATAAATAAGCACACATTAGTTATCTGTATAACAAAATTGATTAACTTAGTAGACACGGTGACACATTTCTGTTATATTTTAGAACACGTTATTTAGTTTTTCATTGTTTAGAAAAATGCTGTGATTTATTTGTTTATTGTTTTACATACAGTATTTTTATAGATGTTGTACAACAGCAGCTTTTGCGCTTTTAATATACACAGACTTTCCATAAGTTTGTTGAAGTACCACGTTTAATTTGTGGTTAGTTTAATACCATGTTGTTATAAGGGCATCCGCTTGTTGTGTGACGTCATGCGAAGCGGCTTCCGGGTCCAAGCTCTTAATCAACCTGTATAGTAAGACTCATCAAATGGTAATAACAAATGTTTACAAAGTACTGTAATACTTTTGAAAATCCCTATCACAATATATATTCATGCCTAATATTCCTTGGCCAAATAGTGATTATTTTTTTAGAAATTGTTAGAATTTTGGTATTTGTAATGCAGCAAGTCCAGAGACTGATGTGTACACTATGACTTTATAAAAAAATTCATGTTATAAACAAATATTTTCTCAATTCAAATGAGTAGTGGCTTGGACCCGGAAACAGTTTTTGATACGTCACCAATACGTCGCGACTTAACAAGCGGTTTAACAGGAGCTTAAAAAAAAATTTCTTTGGAAAAGTACCTGATAAAGTAATTGATAAAGTAATTGGGTTACATTTTGAATGAAGTAACTAATAACTGTAACTAGTTACTATATTTCAGTAACTAGCACAGGGGTGGCCAACCCTGTTTCTGAAGAGCCACTTTCCTGCAGATTTCAGTTGCAACCCATATCAAACACACCTGCCTGTAATTATCACGTGGTGTTCAGGTCCTAATTAATTGGTTCAGGTGTGTTTGATATGGGTTGCAACTGAAATCTGCAGGAAGGTGGCTCTCCAGGAACTGGGTTGGCCACCCCTGAACTAGCACAACACTGATTATAACCCTGTGTATGTTTAATTCATGTTAATCAAAATGTTATTAGTAATGTCGCTACTACACATTATTTATATAATAATAATCAAGCAATATATATAAAACAATAAAATGTTAATTTGATAAAAATTCCAAGGCTCTGAATAGCCATAAAAATATAGAACCAATCCATCAAATACCTTTGTACACTAAAACATAAAAGTACAAGAAAAAATAACAAAAAGCATTCAACACAGCCATTTGATAGAAATGTTTGTTCATCACTGGCATCTTGGACACATCTGCTACATTAACTGTGGTACTGGAGCCCAAATGATGCTTTGTGTGGGGTACACAACACTAAATGGATGAAAACACACTGATTGGGGCTTCACATCTGTGTACACAACTGTCATATGGAATCGCTCCTTCAGAGTCAGACAGTCCTGATGGCTAATCATCCCTTCCTACACTTTGCTGAGCAAGCAGAGGCCAGTACAAGGCATGAATTATTGTACACAGCTGGACAACACTCCTTCTGTCACAACCATGCACTGACATTTACGGTTATCTCTCTGTCTGGCTCTCTTTGCAAGTGTTAAATCAGTTTCATTAGAAAGCCTCCCGCTCACTATCTCCCCTTTACTTCACACAAAGGCATCCTCTTTCTTTCACACACCTCCCTACTCAGCCATGCCTGACTAATGGCTGCATTATGTCTTGAACTTCTTGAATCAGGCCTGTCTTGAGGACCCTTTCACTCCGTCCTCCAGTCCCCACCTCTTCTCCATCAGCCCCAGCCCAGCCCAGCCCAATCCATTCAAACCCATGGCTTTGCACTGCATTGCCTCAGATGGAAAAGGGATTGCATTCAGCAAGGGACTCTTTACATGGTTGTGGGCTGTTAATCTTGCTGATGCTCCTGTTAAATACAAGCATTCAGCGACTCAAGTGCAAAATCAAGAGGATTTGGTGAACCCATGATGCTGAATACAGGGAAAATAAAGATCCACTGTGTGGTTCTTTGGTCACCAATGTGCTCCTGACATCATCACAAGCCAATCTAGCATTTTCCCTCAAGAAAGGGCATTAGATTTTCATCAAGATGTAGAGCCGAGTCTTGTGGACAGTTTGGTGATGGCTTACTTCTCACACTAACTGTCAACAACTGTTAAATTACCTGCAGCAGATGGTTTTAAAGTAATAGAAATCTGGTGAGCTGAACCTTTGTGGGTGTGTGTCTAGACAGTAGGAGGAGTTTCTATGTGTTTTAAAGATAAATAATGGAAAATTGCATTTAAAATGGAGTTCATTACATCAGCATTGTGAGTAAAATCCATTGAGGAGAGTATGGTTATACAATACAAATATTATACAAGTCACTTGAATCCTTTTTTTTATTAGCATCTAACTCTGATGATTTAATGTATGCAGTTTTGAAGTATTATATTTATTTATCACACTCTAATATGCACAGACAAATTAATGGATGCATCCTGGACCTTCATTCATTCATTCATTCATTTCTGCACAAATGGATCAAAAGTGATTCTTACCTTGTGCTTCAACATGCAGACTGCTTGCAAACACCATCAATGCCACAGAAAACAGAGCAATCATCTTCACGTTTGTTATGTTCTTTGTCTAAAAAAACTACTCAACAAAATAAATGCAATCAGGTAATAAAATGTAATGTGGAAAAAAAAAAATACTTTCTTCCCGTTGTTGTTGAAGAGGTGAAGGTGTTGGTAGTTGTGCCACAAAAAAGATTGGGCTCCTCAGAGGTCCATACAAAAGGCTTATATTGAAACCTTGGCCAATTGTAGCCACTCCCCCTCCCCTTAGAGAGAGACGAAGCCCATCACCCTTCGTTTTTTTTGTGCGTGTGTGTGGACTCCCTCATATATAAGAACAGCTTCCCTTTTTGTTATGCATGGCTATCCATTTAGATTCGAGGGCATGCAAAATGTAATTTAGGCTATATTATGGTTGGGTTTATATAAGGACTATCGTGTAACTGCTTTTAAAATGAGGAAAAAGAAGACACAAAATAGACAAAGGACTATGTGTTAACACATTGGTAGCTAGATTATATCATATGCAGTTATTTATATATTGTATAATAGTGACATTTTGCCAAAAACACTCTTAATTGTGCCAAAAAACACTAATTTTTCCCCCAACATGTAGTCCAAGCACTTCAAAGTAAATCTGTCCAAGACGGAGCATGTCTCACTAGAAACAATAGACTCCCCACTAGGAAGATATTAAACACATTGAAGGCCATTCATAAACTTTCCAAATGCTGGATTACACAGTCTCTCTCCACCTGTTAGTGATGCGTGTTTGACTTTACTGATTGCCTTTTCATTTGCTTGTACCTCCTGTGTTATGTTTTGCATCATAGTCTGCCAGACAGATTAATAATCAGCCAAGAAATCAAACGCAAACCTTCCCATCGGCCTTTCCTTCACCTGCACTCTTTCCACAGTGTGCTGCAACTGATGAACCATAGAAAATTGAGTCATTTTTAGTTATTATTTTATTATTGTTTTCAGCAATGTGCAACATTTAAAAGGTATTTCACTTTAAAGGCAGTAAAAACAACCTACACTGACCCAACAGTTTGTCAAATGAAATGAGAGTAGTTAACTCAAAATTGACTGATGGTTAACTCTACTCATTTGAAAAGAGTTTTGAACTCAGGATTGAAGATAATGAGTTAATTAAATACTTTACTTCAACTTAAATGGAGCAAGTTCACAGTACTCATATAGATTAGTTTTTTTTTACTCAAATAGTTTGAGTTGCCTTAACTTAATAGGTTTTACAGTACTCAGTTGGTTTGAATTCTCTTCAGTTTTTGGGTTTTACTGTGCTCAAATTGCTTCATTTACTCAAATGGATTAAGTTCACAGAGCACTGAAACAAATAACTTTTTAGTGTATTCAAATCTAATAAATAGACTCATAATTTTTCAATTGTAATATTAAGTGTAAAGGATAACTAGAATTTTCTAAGTACATATTTAATATACACATATTTACTTTATGTAATAAATGAAATGAGTGGAAAGAGTTTAATATTAATATTTGTTTACTTGTAATATTTAAATATTTTATAATAATCGCAAACCTAGTAATATTAAGTTTTAATAATGGATATGTCACTGATTCCCAGCATGCTTTTGCAAGGGATTGAATTAAAAGAGAAGTATTTTGAAAATAAAAACAATCTTAGGTGTTTAAATTTGAGAGAAAGAGTTTTTATACTTTGATCATCATTAGTTTGTAGATTAAGAGCAGTTTTGAGTATGTATTTTAAATTAGTTTTAAAGTTACCAGCTTGCAGAAAAGCAGCACACATGCTTTGGATCTTGGCATTTTTATTATCAGCATTAATGTTTGACGCTTCACTCAGAAAATCATAGCTGTGCTAACACTAGCGCTGACATTAGTAAGCATTTATAAAGTAAAGTTGCTCTTGCTAAATAAATTTATTTAAAATAAAGTGAAATAACACATTTCAAGTGGAAATGTGTGTCTTAATTAAGCCAAATTGCACCAAATGTACTAATTTGTAGCTAATAAGTTTAATTTAAATTGATAAAAGCAATTTTCCCTCTGCTAAAACAAGAAAATGGCATTACTTGGTTCCTTTAAACAAATAAAAAAGTAAAGATGATCAATTAAATGACAACTTGTTTACATTACTGGATATTTTTAATACGTTGTTTACATTTACAGACTTTTTATTTAAAGAACAAAAATTACACACATAATATTTGCTTATTGGCTATATGGAATGCAAAAACTTTGACTCTCAATATCTCAAAATCATTCAGAACGCAAATAGAACCTGTTAATTCCAAGGTGACGATTTGTTTGTGCAAATTGTTACCAGGATTTTTTAAAAGTAAATCTTAGGAGTTTTTTTTTTCTTCTGTGTGCTCATTAGGATTAGTTCTTGAACTTAAATAGTTTGTTGCAATCGGTTTCCTCAAATGGTTTAAGTTACTTTAACTTTTTGGGTTTTGTCTCTCTTTCATCTCTCTCTCTTTCTCTACACAAACACACACACACACACACACCCCAAAAGCTCCTTTAACGCCAATAAGGAACATTTGATTTTAAGAATGCAGCATAAGCCCTTTTCAGATTACCTAATGGTCACTTGTATTGATAAGGCTGAGACACAGTAAAGATATGACCTACTTCACTTAAATAAAAGTGTCTCTGGACTCTAAAAAGGCTTCGTTATCACAGAAGTGATAGGATGAGGATTTGAAGGGAGAATGTGTGGTCCATCAAGGACCATCATGTTTTCTTAGTGGTCTCCATGGAGTGATGGCAACAGGGAGTAACCTGTTTAACGCTATTTCAGCTGTGATTTACGGACTCTAGGTGAGAAAGACACCCTCCGTCCCAACAGGGCTTGGTTGTGTAGACTACAGCTCCATCGAGTCATATGTTCCCCACCCTTGAAAAAAAAAAAAAGCACACAGAAGACCAAAACCACCACAGTGACTGATTTACACACACAAACACACACAGAAAATCTATGGAAACTGTGGAAAATGAGGAAGGGTCTCTGGATTGCAGCATGACTGACTGGAAATCTCACCTCAGCAAGGATGACTCATTTTCATTTAGGTTACGCACTTATATGACAAATGGTAATAATGTGGGTTTGAAACACTTATTAATGTTTGATTACGCTAGATGATGTCATGAGTTGCTTAATATTTAGTTCCAAGCACTTAAACACAAAAGGACCAGTTTGCTGAATTAATCATGGCAGTTGTGAAAGCTAGTTTGGACAATTTAACAGTTTGCTCTTGAAGCTGTTTTCATTTTGGTTTAAAGTATGTAGTTCTGAGTTATTTATTTAAAAGAAAATCTTTTTTTTTCTACTGACAAAAGCTTATGAATTACTGCCCAAAAGTGAAAGACAGCAACTTTAAAATATCTTCAATAGCTGTGTGAAAATCAGTGAACAAATGAAGTCGGGATTTATATTTAATAAAAGACAAAATGTGAATAGAGTGTGTATCAGAACACTTAAGTCGTACCTTAATCCGTCCGTTCAGTTTCGTTATGAACCCAAAGTCTCATTTGATGCCAAATGCACTGTAGGCTAGGGAGCTGAAACCATGTCTGGTTGTATGTGGCTAAAAGCCATAGTACACATCTGGAACATTTATGGTACTGTGCTTGCCATACAGTTCATTTGGGTTTATTCAGAAAACGCACAGTCTTCACCAAGAACTACTTTTTTTTTTGTCTTTAAATGCCTCTAATTCTGCCTAGTTACTGCAGCACAATAAAAACATGAGCTTTTGCGGCAACACCTACTAAACAAGCGTCCCAGTGTTTAATAGATGACTAACAGGAGCCTCTCACCTCATGCTAAATGAAAGGTTCAGCCACAAATCATTTACTCGCCATCACATGATTCATTTTCTGTCTTAAAAGACAAGTTTATAGTAGAATGTTCAAGATGCTCTTTTATATGGTTACCTACTGATTAGGCACCATGTTTAGGATCTTTTCAAAATCAGCACTATTGATACCACTAACTGATTTTTGATAATTACCTTTCATGCAGTTTCTAAGATTTATTTTATTTTATTTTTTTTAATGAATAATAATTTAATAAGATACTTCTACAGAACACACAAAAGCTGTGCGGTGGCATTGTTTTCTGTGCACGTTCAGCAATTTGGTCTCGATTAAACTACATTGCTTTTACAGGCATTGATTTGGTTGTTGCATAGAGAATAACATTTTTATTCTTGTACTATTACTTTTAAATGATATGTGACTGACATATTGTGTAAATTGTAATGCAAAGCTTTTACTGAGACAGAGCCAATTTATTTTTATTTTTTTTAATGGGGCACGTGCCACAGTAAATGAGGTCCAGCAACACCTCTGTGTTGACATCAACCTGAAACCTAAGCAGTGTGCCTGCCCCCTTGTGCAGATACAGGATAGCATTGTGCTGAGAAGACACTGTGCTTTGCACTGAGATGGAAATCCATTTTTATGGCCAGAAATGAGGCTGTGAAGAGTCAATAGTTAAATATTATCTTTACATCAATTCCACAGCAGTGAAGTCACAACCTTGCATTGTGTCCCCATTACATTACTATGCCTGCTACAGTACAGCAACCTAAATAAAAACAATGCAAGTCAGATCCCTCTTTCAAAATGTGCTGCATGCAGTAGACCAATCACAACAGAATGTGTCATTAGACCAAGCATTGCAGATTAGCATGCAAATGTTTCGTTAAGTGACTTGTTTTGAGCATTGAGCAAGTATGACATTTTGATATGCATATTTTAAGACAGGAGACACAGTGGTTCAGTGGTTTGCACTGTCACCTCATAGCAAGAAGGTTGCTGGTTCAAGCCTCAGCTGGGCCAGTAGGCATTTCTGTGTGGAGTATGCATGTTCTCCCCATGAACAGATAGGTTTTGTCCGTAGGTTATAGACATGCATTATATGTGAATTGAATAAACTAAATTGGCTGTAGTTTATTTGTGTGAATGGAAGTGTGTTTGGGTGTTTTCTAGTACTGGGTTACAGCTGGAAAAGCATCCACTGTGTAAAACACATGCTGGATAAGTTGGTGGTATATTCTGCTGTGGTGACCCCTGATGACTAAAGGGACTAAGCCAAAGTAAATGAATGAATAAATCAATACATTTTAAGATTATAAAAGTGTTTTGGCCTTGCATGCACCTTGTTCTTGGGGACTCCAAAATTAAACTATGAAGTT